TCTGAAGACCAAGATTGTCTTTATTTCACTTTTTCTATTATTTACCTTACATATTTATCACTTTAATAGCTAACTATCCGAAAAAAATTTCTTTTTTTTTTCTTTATGTCCAAAATATGCCTTCTGTAAAATTTTTTCTTTTACTTTTCTTTTCTTTCTACTTTCTTTATATTTATTTATTTGTACTTTTATTTTCTTTCTTGGTATTTTTATTGCAATTATTAACCCGGATTTCAGGAAATATGTGTACAGACAAATTGCTTTTATAATCAGAAAAGGTGATCAGTCTTCTCAGATTTTACATTACAACCCGTTTAACACAATTTATCACTAATTGAAATCCAAAACAAAGTTTTCAAATTTAATATGGTATTAAGGTAAATCAGTTTTTAATTTTTTACTGATCTAGCTATTTTCCTTATTTTTAATCTGAAGTGCAAGTTTGGTTTATTTGCAAATTACCTTCTTTTTTTCTTTTTGGACATAAATTTTTTTTCTTTTTTTTTTCAAAAAATTTTCGTTTGGATTTTTTCTTAAGTAATTTTTGTGCAGAGATCTTAATTGGTAATTTAATTTGTCACAATTGTTAGGGAATTCAAATATTTTCATTTCTATTTTAAATGTGTTTTTGAAGTGAATTTGGTTACTATTACTTTTCAAATTTTTTTGATCATTTTCCTATCTTTATGTTGTTTGTCTATGGAAATGTCTGAGCTACAACTTATTACCAACGTTGGACTAAAGCATTAATGTCTGGTTGCACTTCAATTTAAATTCTAACAACAAGTATTTTATTCATTTTTCCAAACTATTTGTAATAGTTTTAACATTTCTTGATCTAATTTTTGCCACACCGTAATAGCATTCATATATCTAAATTAAATTTCAATAATTACTGCAGTTGCATTATGAAGAGAAAAAAAAATTTAAATGGCATTTTCATTTAAATCCTAATCACTGTAAAACAAAAATATAATTTCTACTACTCAAAAAATCATAGAAGCTGTAACACATAAAACAATATGAAAATAATTTCTCGAAACACTTTTCAATCAAATAAATCAATTAACTGAAAATAAAAATTTAAAGAAATAAAAATTTCAACAGTAAATACTATCAATATATAAAAAGTAGTTTCACTTTGAAACATCAAATATGGGAAAAAATTAAAATCATAATCATTTAAGAAATTGATTTATGAGAAATGTAAAAAACTTTAACTCAAAGGATACCTGAAAAAGTTCGAATTAGTCCGAGATATTTTGAAAACCACAACAGAGATGGGAATGCGTTGAAATTCCGTAAACACAATTCCAAAACCAAAGACGTGAGCTGCTAGGGAAAAAATTTGTTTCTTCGTTAAGATGAATCGTAAATTAACACCAATAGTGACGGAGAAATTGAAGCTTATTTTTCTTTTGAATGTCGAACATCTAAGGAGACCATCGTAAACCATTCCGGGGTGTGAAAACAATTCATCGACGATAAGATCCAGCTCAGCACTTAAGAGTGGCAAAATCAACGCTTTCTCCAAGGGATAGGGTTTCAATAAAAACATTTTAATTATCAGGAGTTCGATGCAGTTTTTCTTTTTAGTCCAAGGAAGGAAATTGAAGCTCAGCTTTCTAGTAGTCTCAGGAACGTAGACAAAATATGCAGCATAGACATATGGAAAACCGATGATCGTTTTGTTCCACTGTGCGTAGGTATCATTTATAATAAACAAAAAGTTTTGAAGAGTTTTTTTTTTTGATGAAGATACTGGATGAATTAATTATTGCCATAAGTTGAAGAAGAATTTGACTGCTTATTTACCAAATGTCCATTTGAAAAAATGATTTGAAGTTATTCCATATTTTTGATGTACCCTCTTCCGAAGTTGATTTATTTATTTTCAAATGAGATATTTAATATCTTTAATGTACCGTACGAACTGTACCCCTTCCCGACCGTTCAATCCTGGCGACTTATAACGTCGTTGCCGAGTGGAAGGATTAAAACAGGTCATAGGTCGGGAAGGAGGGTACAAAATTTATTTATTAATTATTAGACAAGAGCAGTCATGAGAATGAGTAAAAGTGCACATGAAAAGTTGCGCTCCTTGGTTATATGTTAGGGAAAATCTTGCAAAGTAAAATCCGTAAAATGTCTTAATTTAGGGAAAAAGGGAAATCTTAGTAGTTGCTATTGGTTTATGAAATGGATCGAACGTTTCCCACACAAGAGCAAAGGGAAAAATGTCCTGCTCTTAATTAAATGCATAGTTGAGCCAAAAATAGATTTAAGAACAGGATGTGGCTTTTAAAAGTGTGAGAAAGTATTTCAAATAGAATAATTAATTAGGAAGAAGTTTTATAGCAGTGAAACTAACATAAAAAGATTAATTGAAGCTTTTTATGTTACATATATATTATGAGTGGTTATTACAAAGCATCCTGTAGATTAATAATTTTATTCTTGTTTCAATTAAGCTTTGCTACTTATGTCCAGATCTAACCATAAAATTACTATACAAAAGAGTAACATGCTAAATTTTTTGGTTGTCTGGAAAATTCTAACAGATTTTGTAGAAAAATTGAAACACGGTATATTTAATTTTGGTATACATTCAATAAATTATATAAATACAGTACAGAACCTCTTATCCGGAAATCAGAAAACTGGAACGAAATTCGATAAATTTTCCCGCCATTTTTAAAAAAAAAATGTTTTTTTCCTCATGAGATTTTAGGATTTTTCTTTCTTTTTAAAAGATGTTTACCTTACCATCATTTTAGAAATAATCATTAGTGTATTACTTTATTGTTTTTCTTCTTTTTAAGATTATTTCTAAAATTTTTTTTTTAGTTTGGTTTGATAATAAAAAAACTGCTTTTTGTAGCGATTAAAAAAACCCGGAAAAATCAGTTATCCGGAATAGCAATGGTACCGCTCGTTCCGGACAATCTGTTCCCTACTGTACCATATTAAGCTTTTATAATTATTCTACATCTTCAGCCATAATAATTATTCTACATCTTTCAGTCTATCTTGAAAATTTGCCCATGTAGAAATCTTTGGGCATTTCAGCAGAGAAACTTGCTGCATGAACAAGAGTTGAAGTTTTTTACATTAAGAAAAATTTTGTAAAGATCGAAATAGCAGAAAATCATGTTCTCCGATTATGTTGGAAGGGGTAAAACATCCCAATTGAGCTTTAAGAATTTTTTTTTTTTTTTTAATAACCAAAAAATTAAATTGTCACATTTCTGGATGTTTTTGTTCAATTGCTGTGTGCGTCTAACTGGGAGCAAAAGCTTTTAAAATCTGTCTCTCAAAATCTGTACAAAACCCATTTGATTCCAATTATTTTGATATATTCAGACTGGTACAATTTGTTTATTTGGGAGCAATTGTTTTTCAAATTCTGTCTTTTAGAATATGTACTCATATCATTTTATTCCAACCATTTGCATAGATTCAGACCTGTTTATATGTAAATCTAAATAAAATATTGTCACTACTTCCCAAATAACAGAAAACATTATAAAAAATTGCTTCGTATAACTAGAATTAAAAAAAGCTATCTGAGGACCTTATTATCAATGGATGACGGACAAAAATGAATACGCAAAGCAATATTTTTATATGCACTAAAGATTAAAAGAAAAAAAAATGGATAAATTTGAAAACATCTCATTTTCAACTAGATAATAAAATAGCAATTAACAGTTTAAATGTTATATGCAATTAAGCGGTTGATTAAGTAGGGTGAAGAACGGATAATACGTAGAATTATTTAGAGATATACAAACTTGATTTCTGACACATTACAATAACAATAAGCAAATTATAGTAATGTTAATGCTTGTTGTATATTTAAAATTTACTTAACCATTTGAATAACAATAATTGAAGAAAAAATTTTAGAATGTTTGAGAGTTATTCTATAAAGGTTACCCAAATGAAAAGTGGACAAGTTTGAATTAAAAAAAAAACCTTTCTTGAAAATCAAATATATCGCCATGGACGCAGTGTTTAGGCAGCAGCTACGCCCACTCCATGTGTTTGCTACCCAAAGATTGTGGTATATTCTGGAGAAAGTCCTGTGCAATTTCCTTCACTGTGTATACCAACTGGAAACGTGTCCCGTGTAGTGGTCTCTTAAGTTACCCAAAGATTAGTCACGGGGTTACGAATCTGGACTGTATGGCGGGTGTTCCAACACTTCCCAATGGATATTTAGCAGGGTCGTTTGGCTCTTACGAAATATGTGTGGACAGGCATTACAGGGAGAAGAATCACTTGTTGTGTGAGAAGGACGTGCAGTTAGCTTTTAAATGCTTTCCGTAATTTCGTCAGAGTACTGTATTGCGTCGATTTAATAGTGCTCTTTGGAGTCAGGAAATCAATCGTTGTACCGGTCAGGACGCATCCATGTACAGCAAGACTTTGCTCACGATCAATTTCCTCCTCTACCACAAACATTTCACTGTTGAAAGCTATATGTAGTACATACCTTCCTTATATCCCTGTTCAGTGGCGCTGTTATAGATGCAGACATTTCAACAAAATTGCAAGAGCTCACTTTTCATTCGGGCAACCCTTATGGAAGAAACAATCTTTTTTTTTTTTTTTTTTTTTTTAAAGTTTACAGAAAATATTAGACTTTGCTTTATTTAAGGGTAAAAAGTTATATTTTATAGTTTATATATTACTAATGCAAAAATGTAATATGTAAACTATAAAATAATAATTTACATTTTAAAAAGGGTGAACAATATTTTTCAATATTTTTATTACCTTGCTGTGAAAAAATTATGCAGTGAATTTAAAGCCCACACTAAAATTTAAACAGCTATTTTAATGTCTCTTTTAAACTCAGCCTTTTCAATGTTACTATCTTTTAAATTAATTTTAAAAGTCCTTTCCTCCTTTCGCAATAAACAGAAAATATGAGAGCAGTTATATTACAAAAAGATTTATTAGCTATAAGTATATATTGTAAATTACAAAGTGTTCAAAAATAAGGATTAATATATTCATATGTTATAAATAGAATTGAAATAAATTGTGAACTATATATAGGTAAATTTCATAAATAACTATTTGAGCCAATCGTCGTCATCCTCTTCAGAATCATCGTCAAATAGAGGAGGGGGCTGAGGTCTCCAAACCTATAAATTCAAAACACCAAATGCATAATTATCTAATATGGTTGCATGCTGATGAAAATATTAATAGTCAAACTTTATAATTATAACAAAGAATTTTGTTATTAAATACATTTTAATGTTAATATGTTAAAAAAGTATTTTTTTAAGCTAACATGACTAATTAAATTAGTAGTCTAGCACTTGAATGGATTGTTCAAAAGGCTGCTTTTTTTTTTCTGTTCAATTAACCCTCTTCTCATATTTGGAACTGCATTCATATCATTGTATAGTAAAATTAGTTTTTCTACATAGTTAGAAAAGAAAATATTTAAAAGATTCAGTTTCATGACTTATTTAGTTAAGGCACAGATATTAATTTAATAGCCAATAAATTGATTAACTTAAAAAATAAAGAGTATTGAAATGTTCACAAAAAAAGTTTATATGTAATGGGAAATTGCTTGTTAAAAGCAAACATGACAAAGAGTAAAATATTTATTTCGCTATAATTTTTATGTAAAAGAATATTTTCTTTTTTAGAAAGAGAGCATATAAAAGATATTGGAAATATATATGCATGAAATGATAAAGGCCAAGCAAGGTAACAAGATTAAAGTGGGATGTTTTCAACATTTTTCACCATCAATAGGTACAAATTTTAAAAATTAATAATTGGAGATTTAAGTTGAACGAAAAAATGTCTTTTCTGATTTAAATATTTTTATTTGTTGAGAAACAGCAATATAAAAATTAGACGAGGTAAAGTCAATAATTTCGGGTGGTTCCGAATAATTTCAACACATTCATGCATGCATTATTCGGAGTGAAAATATTTATTTTGGGAGGTTGGCAGCACAAATAGCAAAAACACGCAGCCACCAGGAATTCCTTTCCGATACTGTCTGCATAGCTGCATATCATTTCTGACAAAGAGAATTTGTAAATCTTCAAACTTTAAATGTCATTCATTTTAATGATAAATAAAAACATCAAAGTTGGACAAAAGCAGAGGGAAAGTGATGTTGGAGATATTATATGGGCATCATTGAGCACAAATTTATTTATGAATAAAAATGTCAAAGAATTTTATTTGGATATCTTTAAGAGATTATGAGATGCAATCAGATAAAAACAATCTAAAAATGGGACAATGTTCTACCACACATGGCTCTAATTGTAAAAAAGTACCACGCCAGACAATCTGAAACACCCTCTTTATTTTCCCGACCTAGCACCAGCCAAAAATGAAATTGAATGGACACCGTTTTCTGGATCCAGATGAGGTCATCGAAAATGAGAAGCAACTGAAGGACCTCTGAAAAAATTTATTCCAAGAGTGTTTTGGGCAGTTATATGTAGACACTGGAAAAAATGTGTGGATGCAAGAGGAAAGTACTTTGAAAGTCAATAAAATAAAATTATTTTTCTACTTTTTCACAATTTGTAACTGTCCTATTCCAGGAATTTTTTGACTCTACCTAGTTTTAATTGATTTAAAAAATTTATTTTCTTCTTAATTGACTAACATGCAGTTTCATCATATTCAAACTTAAGTTGCAAATCTTTAATAAGCTCAAGGTTTTTAAATAACGATATAAACCCTTTCTTTCAGGCAGTCCACCCAGCTTGAAGAGACGTCACTGAGCTGTGCACAGCATTGTGAAGTTTGCACATTAGTTTTTACACTCATGCTTAGATTATCTTCTTTAGTCATTTGCACTGCAAACGAGGAAGAAAAATATTGTTCTGACTTAAAATGTATTAAGTACATTCAAAATATACTTTTGGTGGTTTTAATCCAATATAGGTCAATGGAATATTAGACAGTGGCAGTTTAAACCAGTTATCCAACAGTATTACACAGGCTAAATACGGCTCCCGTAATGAAAGTGTTAAGGAGAGCAATCTCTTAGTTTGACTCTGCATGTAAAATTTTATATCTAAGCATGTATGAATAAATATCCATAAGGGAAAGATTGATGAATGTTTGGCAACCAAAAGGTTAAAGATATGAAACTCTAGTTCATCTTCAATTAAGAAAGTAAATGCTTTCTAATTCCAGTGCTCTAAATCTTCTGAGAGTACATAATCATGCAATATAAATTACTGCAAGCAAAATTTTAAACAGTGCACGTATTCTAGAGCCAATTATATTACGGTGATACACGTATTTCATATCTCTAGCACTAAAAAATTATTTCAGAACAATTTAGCATCAATGGATTATATACACGAGCAAAATGTTTTGTTATATCAATAGTCTTGTAAAAGAAAAAATATATAATTTTGATTGAAGCTTAAAATTCAGAAACATCCAAAGAAACAAAAGGATTTTTTAACAAGAACAGAACATTTACAGTTTTAACAGTAGGAAGGATGTTTAGGATAGTTACTCATGCAATAATCAATCATCTACCCATGCACCAATCCACAATATAGCATAGATTGTCAAAAGGGCAAAGAGAATTTTCCCAACAACACTCCATGCATCACACTTTAAAGGGAAAAAGAAGAAAAGGATATGTTAGAGTAAGGACTCAAAAAGAAAACTCATACTGCTCACCTTATTTTCTAACACTAAAATATTCATAAAGACAATGAAATCTTAAATAAGTATTTTTTTCTGCTCCAAGAGAAGTACAAGATAAACATCAACTTAAAAACTTTCCTTTGTTCTTACTATTTTCTTGATATAAATTGTGAAGCATGCAAATTACTAGAGGATAATGAAACCCCATTAAGTGGAAATGTCTTGTATATTGTCCTGTCATTTTTAATTTTACAAATTGTTCAAGGTAGGGGAATTTATTTAGGTTTGTTAACATTTTGCATAAAAACTGAAACCTACATGATTAAAAAAAGATGCAACAATCGTAGCGCCTTCTCTATACAATCTTATTTAAGAGAGTGAGATTATAATTTACATGCTTTTAGTCATATTTTTTTGTGTGCATGGTTACTGCTTAATTTATTCTATGCAACATAAAAAGACTGGAATGGGCAGTTGAATGTTTTATATAAGTTAAAATGGTAAATTTTGATAAACCTCTTCAAATTCCACTGCCCAATTTTTAAGTGTTGAGCAACCTATACTATTTTTGTGATTATGTCTAGCTCAGAGCTGCAATGGCCCGGTGATAAATCCACTGAACTGCCAGTGCAAAGGACTGATGTTCAATGTTAGAAAATAAGATGAACAGTATGTATTTCTCTTAAATAGGAAATACCTGAACTAAAAATTAGAAAAACTCTTTTGAATAAACATACTATTTATTAAATAACAATATGAAAAACGAGTTTTAAAACTTTGTAAATCAAACAATAAATTTTAGCATTTGTGTTTTAACTTGCTATGGAGGAATAAGGCAGCTTTAATTTTAGTAGTATCAAATTTTACCACCGATTTTCGAAACAATAAAATAGGGGACAACATCATGCTAACTAGGAAATTAATGTCTTATTTTGTTAATATTTTGTAATTTTAAATTCATAATTTTTCATTAAAAAAATTATGACATAACTGCAAGTGAACCTTCTATGCATAAAAAAATAGCTGCCTGTAACTCTTAGAGGTAAACATTTATGTTAAAGCAACAGATCTATAATCTTATGTTAAAGCAACAGATCTTAGAGCAGAAAGACTATAAATCATTTAATGCTTAAATTTAAAAAAAAAATGTGCATTATGAGGTGTGTGCAAAAATATTGCATTGGATTAATAAACAAGGCTTGGGATGTATTACTTAATCACTTGAATGTTGGTAACACTGACAAAACTAAGATGCATGTTAAATTTTTCCATGAACATAACAACACTCTGTTAACATAAAGTTGCAGAGTAAATATGTTTCAGTGAAAGTCAAATTTTATTCTGGGGCAAAATGATGAAAGAATTGAACAACATATCTGCATCAATTTTGTCTCAAGTTTAAATAATTATCAAAAATAAAGTGTTTGGTAATGAATTGATACTGGGTGATACAATCGCTTCATAAATGATCACGACGGAGATTGTGGTGAAATCACCTGTGTGCCATATACCAGTGTTGTTTACAGCAAAAAATCATTGCAACACAAGGAGATAACTATAGGAACTATTTGTAGGAGATAACTGTATTTCAACAAACGTTGATTTTATGGAAAAAGGTTAGATACTTTTTTTACAGGACTTCATAAATTAGAACTGTCCTTAAAAAGGGATATTAATCATTAATATGTTATTTAACCTTTAAAACTTTTGCTTTCATTTGAAACAAACAAGTTTTCTTTGAAATTGCCCAATAACATAATACAATAAGAAACAGTTGACATTTTTTCCAAACTAAACATTTTTCGGGTGGAGGTAGGATAAAAAAAAAAAGCTAAGGTAAGTAAATTAAGAAAACAGACACATAAGTTATAATGTATATAAAACAATAGGGTAGTAATATGATATAGTAGGGATGTGTGCAAGCCACATAATAAACTAATCAAATTTTGCTTCATACTGCACACAGGTAAAACTATTAAAAAAAAAACTAACATAAAATTTTTTGATGTTTGATATTTTGCAATTGCATGTAAATATTACAAAGAAAGCAACTTTAGTTTATTATTCACCTGAAAGATTTTCTCTTCATTTATATATTTTCCCTTCTTTCTCCATATATCAAGTGAGATTTTTTATAATTTACCAGTGATTTCAACATACATAATGATAGTGATAGGATTTGATCACTTGTTAAATAAGAAAAAAACTGATTAATAGAGCTATCGATCAAATAAAAAAATATATAAATAGTTATGGGCATAATCATAAAAGTAACAACACTGAAAGAGTATAAAACTTTTTTCCTCCAAAAACAGCCTTGAAATATGTGTTAGTAAATTCTACAAAACTAGTAGAGACTTTTTTTTGAGGAGTTCATATATGTATATCAATTATTCCAAATTCTAAAATAAAATGATGTACTCAGTACAAATAATTCCTTAAATAAAGAATTTTTTACAATAATGATTAGGAAAAATTTCATAATAATAAAATGATAAACACCAATTTGAATGTTAAAACATTACTTTAGACAAAACACACTAATTCAAACTAAGTTCCAACTAAAATTATCATTTTTAAAAAAATTGAGGGAAAAAAAGAAATAGATTACATTCCACAATTTAGCAAGTAAAAAAAATAGAGTGACAACGACCAGAAAGCAACAAAACAGACTAAAAAAACATTCAAGCAAAGGCAAGAAAAAGCTACATATCCCAGGGTAGCAAGAATAATAAATGTCATGCAAGTGCATATAGAGTACCTTAGCCAACAACTAATAAGCATGCAAATCAGAAGGCTCATCTAATACCTTGGTGTTGACAGAATTAGAAGTATCAGGAATGTTAGCTGCAGAAAGCTGCTAAATATAAAGCTCTCAGTTAGTGATGTAAAAAAGAAAATATAGCAGTTTAAGAAAATGTAAGCTTTACCAATTAAAAAGACACATTTTAGAATGTTAGCAAGGGGAAAAAATGTACTTTATATCCAAATAGCAGAAAGGTCTGTATTGATCTGTAATACCGTGAAAAAATTCTACAATCTATCTGCAGAGCATGTGATAAGATACTTGTATTTACTGCTTTCTGTCTGTAAAGGAAAACAAAAATCTGCGGTGCCCATTGCTGTGACACATTAATTCTGCTACTATGCTTTATATAACATAAATATACTTTTAGTACTATAAAAGAATTGTTTTAATTATTATGCTGCTTATTAATTTAATGCTTCTATTATTCTGCTTATTAATTTAATGCGTTAATCTGTTTAATCAAGTGCAAGTTAAATAGGGGGGAAAATATGTTGAAATGGAAAATAATCCATTCTCGTTGAAACTGAGATAGAGGTAATTAATTTAAGATTTAAAAATTCCTTTAGATTATGTTTCTTTGTTTATTTTGGTTGATAACAATAAGTAATACTTTATTTTCACAATTTATAAATTTAACAGTTAATAACTAATAACAATTTAACAATTACAAATTAATAATTAGGTTAAACGCATGTTGCAACACTAAACATGATTAAGAGATTCGTAGTCAAACGATGAAAAGCTCATGAAAATGAAACTTCAACAAATTATATTAAGATAAATAGTAGCTAAAATAGCAAAATCTGTTGTCTTCTTTATTTATTTGAAAGTTAAAATTTTTGATTTGTTTATTAGGCTGCTGAGAATTAGTTCCATTAGAGATTTTTTTTTAAATAAATAAAATAAATAAAATTAGTTAAGTTTTTCTATTAAAAAGTTATATATTACAGCGTATATACCATACAATGAACTTTTTTAAAGTTGTTCATAAATTCATCATAGTCAAATGTAACAAACATAATGAATTTACAGTATTTAAGAATTTACTTCTATAGCTTTGTAACATAGTTGAGTTAGTAAACATAGTTCAGAAGACAAATTATAAAAATTTGACTAAAAGTGCATAAATTAAAAAATATATAGATTTTGTTAATTGGATTGTGGTACCTCGTATGACAGTTAACCAAACTGCAGATAATTTTACATATTCCCTTGAAACATATTTTTTTTTAAATAAAAGATAAGAAAATCTATATTTTTTAAATAATTTATCTTTAAAAAAGGGATTTTTTTTCTTGATCATATTTTTAGTAATTGAACTTTCACCTTATGATTTTTACCTCACTTTTTTGAATATTAAAAAGTGAAAATAAAAATTTAGCTATTTTTCAATGCATAAATAATTGAACATAAAATCCAACACACTTGTTGCTTTTCACCTAAGGTTGATTTTTTCTTATTTATAGTACTTTTTCCTGTATTTAGGTGCTGCAGTTTTGGAAAAAGCTTGACAAATCAATACAACCTTTAAGTTATGTAATATTTTCTTTGATTAATTGAGAAGAAAAATTGCAATAGAGGCTTTTTTTTAAAAAAAATACATAGGACTTCATAAGAAATTAATTATTAGTTTTCTTTAAAATTTCAAGTGCCAAATACAGATAATCAAATTTGAGAAGAAATAATATTGAAATAAGACAAAACACTCTAATGTAATACAGCTATATAAGAGCATGTTATAATATTCATAGGTATTGCAAAATGTAATAGCTTTTATATTTAATTTCAACTTAGGTAAAGGATATAAGAAAGGACTTACATCAGGAGATTCTCGAGATTGACTAATTGTTTTACTTTCCTCAGTTTTCTCCTTTTCAGATTTTGATGATTCTTCACTTACACTAGACTTTTCTAATTCTTCATTTTGAGAGTCTATTTAAAAATATATATATATATATGTGAGGGGGTGCTTTCTCGTCAAAGGTGAAATACCAAAATTTTTTATAAATTATGCATTTGAATAATGTATTTATATAAAAAATAATGCAATGTATTTGAATAAATTGTAATTAAAATAATGTATTTGAACAACAAAAAAAATATTTTGATCAAAAATTCCTCTTAAAAAATACGAAAACTTAAAACTATGAAATTAATGGTGGGTCCAAGTCCACTAAAATGTGACTAAGATCACCAGAAAATAATAAAAAGTGATCTCCCAGACCAGCGATCAATGTAAAGGGATGGAATGCTGTTATGGATCCTTGGTTTCATGTTTTGGTCAGAGTTTTTGTCACAAAATAGCAGACATTACAGTATTGCAATTTTTCATATTCACTTTATTAACTAAGGAAAAAAAAACAGATAAAAAGAGGTATTTGTACCAGTCACAATAAGTACAGACAAGTAGTATCTTTTAGTTACTGATCCTTCAGACCAGTGACTAACTTTTCTTAATTTCTACTCTTGCTGTTGATTAAATATTCAAATCTGTATACATAAAAACTTCCAAATGACAGAAAATATTTATTTTTATTTTTAGTAAAATTAAAGAATATAAAAGTTAATAAAGTCATTTGTGGTAAATTTTTTAATAAACTACTAAATTTTGACTTCAAATTAAAATAGGAAAATTATTTTTATTATATTGTCTGTAAAAGTTGTGATATTTATGGGATGTATTATTCCTAGAAAATGCTCTAAATTTAATACTCATTAAAACATTAAAGTGTTTTAAACGTTATAGAAATTTCTATTTCTTGAACATTGTTGCATAAAAACAGAATATCCTTATTTTTGCAAAAGCAAAAATCATATAAGGCATGTATTCTTCAGATGGATTTTAGTGACCACTTCACTATTATGCAACAACAAAATGGAAAAATGACTGAATTATCATATATGCAGCAGTTGCATACACTGTATGAAGAATATATTGATATGCAATGATCTCAGATCATTTGCCATATGACAATCTATTTACAGATCTAAAAAAAAAAAAATTCCTGATCTTCAGTATGTCAATATTTTTTCTGATGGTACAGCAGAAACATTTTAGATGATAGAAAAACTTGAATAAAAAAAAAGTAATAGCTGAGTCTAGCACAGATCCAAAGAAAAAAACTATCTAACTTTTCTAATTTTTCCTTACAATAAAGTTTCTTGTGGCATTGTAAATTTATTACATTATTTCTTATTTAATCACAAACATGATCGAAAAATGATTTCCTTGCTTAATAAATCTTTATTTTATCACATCATTTATAAAAAAAGAGTGTACAAAAAGTAGTTGCTTTACTCAAAAAATTATTAATACTTTTTCTTGCGTATCAAATATGTTCATAAAATCATTAAGATTATTTTTTTAATTATAAGTCACTTTTTTGAAATCTTGAATGATTCTCATGTTGTAAATGCTAATCCATAATCTCAAATCAGAGAATGTTACGTTCGTTGCACCAAATATTATTAATTAATTAACAATTTTCATAATTATGCGTCACAATTTTTAAAACTTGAATGTTTTCGAAAATGTTATTATTTCCTGAATATATATTAAAAAACTTTTCCTTTAAAGTTTGGTATTATTCAAAAAAATATGTAAACTAATTGTTCACTGTGAATTTTGATAATTGTGTTTGTTACATCTGTAAGTCCTTTATTTTTAAAAAAAAAATTCCAATTCGGGAAAGCTAAAAAGTTTCAGAACAAGTGCAGAGGACCTCGAGAGTTAACAAAAAAAAACATTAAAAATAGTTTATGATTTTGAATTAAGTTAACAGTGAATTTGCTCAGCAATACCAGGTTAATTCACTTAGTGTACCCAGCACTATAAATAGAATTATGTATATAATGCTGTCAATCAAATAAATAACATTAAATATCAGACATTTCACACCAAAAGAAATTACAAAAATACTTAAAGCTAGTTCAATGCAAAAAATAAAAGAAAACTCCAAAATCATTATATAATTTTTTTTTTTTAAATAAGGCTTGTTTTGTACTAAAACTTAATAGAAATCTTATTTTTGCTTTTACACAGTAATTAAATTTAGTATATTTAGTTTGATTAATAAGGTTTCAAAGATTTTTTTATAAACATTTTTCGTGTTTTTAGCACATTAGTTTTAAAAAAGGAGCATATTATTGCATGGATAATATCAAATTTAACTTACCTATGTGGTTTTGCAGTAGTTCGTCATTTGAATCACTAATCGCTGAATCACTTTTTTCTACTTTATTTTCAGTTATTTGACTATCTGAGACACTATTTTCAGGATTTACGGAAGATTTTTCTTCAGCACCTCCTGTTGCTGCTACTTTAGTTTCATTCTCTACAGGAAGCTCATTGGACAAGGGGGCAACACCGTTATCTTGCACAAGAGAGACTGCTTCAGGAGGGTTATCTTTTGAAACAGAGTTCTCAACAGTAAAATTTTCATTACTGTCGGCATTCATACTCGACACATTAGTGGCAGCTACACAAATAAATGTTTATTGCTAAATTATTTGCGAAAATAATACACAGGCATGAATTATAACATATATTGTTTCTTATTATATATTTGTATATTATGGTATTGTAAAAAAAACAGTTTCATGCATAAACATGTGCAGAAACTTCATACAGATTTGATGCAAGAGGCCATAATAATAATTAAAAAAAAAAAAAAAATACAAACATTCTAATATTAATGAATTTTTTTCTTCAAATCTGAGCTAAGTAATAAATTTTTTTTTTTCAAAAATAAAATTTCTTTTGGTTGTGTAGCTAGATTTGCTCAATGCAAGAATTCATCTGACATTGAGCATTTTGCTCTTGCTCAATGCAAGAATTTATCGTCCCGCAGTGGACTGATCGTTAAGACACGGTTCCCAGCAGATCACCGAAGTCAAGCATCACTGGCTGCGGTCAGTGTGCGGGTGGGTGACCACTTGGATCAGCCTGCGTAGGGACCGAGGGTGTGCGGTATTGGTCCTCGTTAAACTCTTCTACCGTAAAGTGCTCGACTTCGCGCGCAGGTCGTCGGGCTACCGAAGCGGGGGAGCCATCCCCTCCGTAGAGGATCAAAATTGTGATGGAATGTCTTCGGATCATCCTCAGGGATGTTTCCCAGACCGCCGCCAATAGCCCATTGTGCAGCTCTAGTGCGACGTAAATGAACAACAACAGCAAGATTTCATCAACAAGGAAATGGCTAAATTAGTTGTTAATTTATATTTTCAGTTATTTTTCATTCATTAGAAAATAAGTCAGTTTCATACAGATGTGAAGAAATAAAGTCCTGAGAGCACAATGATAAATTTTCTACTATTTAAATACCCTAATAATTTATGAATCAGAATAAATAAAATTGTATTAATCTAGAATAAAAAGAGGAGTTGGTGCTAGTGCCTTGAAATTCGTACAGCAAGTGAAAGGGGAAATTTTAGTCCCAAATCCTAAAGAATCATTTAAAAATTTCCAAGTAAACTAATTTACATTTATTTTACACTCACTCCAACACATTAATAATTTAAAAAGTTTACTTAAAACTTTAATTCACTTCAATCATCTAGTCATAAGCGTTTATAACCTTAACATGATTAAATAAAACTCTGGGAAGTGTTGGTTTTAATTTTCTACAACTTTATACAATTTTATAAAACATTTTGTAGAAACCAGAGTGATTGGCATCCCAGCAATATGAGAAGTTTTATTCAGAAAATTATCAATCATATTTTTCTACAAGCATGCGTTGAGTTACATTCAAAACATTATCCAATTTTTTTAAAATTTAAATTTAGGACATTAAAATACAGCAAGGACAAGACTTTTTATTTCATAACTGGAGTTAAAAGGCAGGCACAATTTTGAGTTTACGACTATCAATGTTCAACTTTGTAGATTCAAAATTTTGAACTCAACCCAAAAGACATGGGAACTCCTGGAATAAAGCAATGGGACAGACTAGTCTTTGAGGAAAACATTTTGGTTGAACTAACCCCCATTTTCGTTACATGAAGAAGAAGATGGTAAGAGGATTCTAATCCATGATTCTTCTACCACTAAGGATATTTTATGTCAGCTCTGTGGTTGTTGGGACACGGAAGCAGAATGCTGGGTTACCTCATTAGGAGGTGAGAGTTTAAGATATTAACTTATTCATAGTATCCTCTTTTAGAAAATAAACTAAAAGAGTTCTCCTTTCCAAAAAATAATCTAATGTTTTTGACCACTGCTTATTCTTCTACCCAGACTGAGACTGGACTAGATTTGTTCTTTTGGCCAGGTTTAAAGGTTGAGAAATCTGCAGATATGGCATTTTAGTGTTGTCTAGATTCTGATTAGACTAAATCTTCTTACAAAGCTGTATTTGTTAAGATTTTTTTTTTTAAACGTTTAAACTTTCGCATTAACTTAGAAAGATGTTTCGCACATAAATAATTTTTAAATTAAAAATTTCTTTCAAACACACTTCAAACCTAGAAATATTTAATTCTTTAAAATTAAAATAAGCATGTTTACAGCATAAAATAATAGTTCATGTATTTTAGCATAATTTTTCCAGAAATGAAATGTATTTAATATGAAAATTTAAAATTAAATGAAGATGCAAATAGGAAATTAAAATTTTTTTCGCTATTCACAATTTTAATTTAGTCAAAATTCAAATCTTGATTCGGCTTTAATTTAATAAACTTTGTTAATCTTATATTCAAATACAATTTTTGAAAAAAATAAATAAAACAAGGCCAGTTAAATTTTCAAATTCATTAAGAGTTGTTAAACAATTTACTCTTAAAGTTTTGACAGCGAACAAATGCAATAATTTAAATTTAGGATAGAATATAGATTAGTAGTTAACATTTTAAAAAATATTTTTATAAAAATCCAAAGAAAGTTATATTACTAGATTCTACTTCCTTGGCAATCGTATCTGATCTTTTTCCTTTCCTTTGCAGCATCTGAACAGTTAAGGTCTAGAAAAAACACAAGTCATTAATCAGGATTGTATAAAATATGTAAAATAGGTAATTAAATTTATACTGGCTAAAAAATATATAAGATATACTGCACCGAAGAAATATTAACAAATCTTATAACTTTATTATTTAAATTTTCCAGCTCCTTGATGCAAGAGAGCATTGTTACTTAATTGAATAATATATTGGGTTATTTGGAAAGTAATTGTAGTTTTTTTTTCCAACGAAGGACATATAGAATTTTTTCGCAGTCAACTTAACACCTAAATCACATAATCATTATATAGTTTGGCAGCTGATATAGCAAGACATGCTTGTGAAAGAGTTTGATAGATTCTTTCTTCTCAGAAGTTTTCGGTTGGTGCCGTTTAAACATGGAAAGTGAAATAGTGTATTCTTTGTAAATTTTATTTTTTTACAATTGAAAGGATAAAAATATCCAATTTGTATGGAGAATATGTATAGACCGAATGCCAGTGCCAAAACTAGTTTGCAAAATTTCAATCACACAATTTTGATGAAGAAGCACCAAGGCCGTTTAAAGCTAATGAAGGCACAATAAAGGCATTAATTGATGTAAACCGGTAATTAAGAATTCATGACATTTCTCAGAGATTAAAGATATCAAATTTGACCATTCATGATTATTGAAACACTTAGGTTTAATTTCACAAAGCTTGATGCATGGGTTCATATTTTTATGGATAGAGATTTGCACAGACGCCTATAACTTGCTTCTGAAATATTAAGAAACTGATCTATTTTTGAAGCGCATCATCAGTGGGGACAAAAAACAAGTTGTCTACAACAATGTTTTGATTTCTAGAAAAATTTTTAAAAGGGGCAAAATCTTTATTTCAAATGAGGTGATCAGAAATCCCCTGGATCAGTTTTTTGCCAGCAAAAAATAGAAATTTTATGAGCAATCAATTATGTTATTATCTGATAAAACTGCAAAAGGTATTAGATCAGAATGGAAAATATATGATTCAATAAAATATTTATTTACTAGTATAAGAAAATCTTCTGTTATCTTCATAAAGAAAAAGTTAATTTCTGATCAATTCAATACAAAGAGAAAAAAATATTTTTGAATTAAAAACATGTTCTAATTTAAAATGAGATAAAGGTTGCTATATTAAGAGTTCAAATTTAAGTAAGTGATTTTAATTTTACTCTCTGGCAATTTATATTGAAGATATATCATGTTATAAAACATGACTAGGAGATGTTAATGAACATTGTATGGCTCTAAACTTAAACTTGTTTCAATTTAAAGTTTTAGGAATAGAAATTCATGGAATGGTGAGTGTACAAGAAACTTCAAAAAAGCTATATACCTAAAAGTTATAATATATTAAATACAAAAAGCCAACAAAATCAAACCTTTTTACAAACTAGTCAGACATAAAACAAAAAGAGGAAACAAAGTAAAACAATTAAAAAAAAAAAACAATGTGTACAAATTCAAACATATGTTTATAGTTTTAGATGTTAGGGCAAAGAAAAAAAATCACCCCACACACTTTTATAGACAATGAAACTAGAGTAACTGTAAAAAAAGTGAATGTTTAATGAAGATATAACTTGAAATGCAATCAAATTAATGATGTAAAGGCATTACTTAATGTTATGTAATGGTCTTACTTAAATGGTATAGGTATTACTTAAAATAAAGGTATTACATAAAGTTAGAAAAAAATTTGCACCAGTAAAAGAATGAAATAATAAGAAAAGATATCAGCCAATATTGAATTGTATAAATACAATGTTAACATAGCAAAATGGGAATTACTCTTATTGCTTGTAATGTTGTTTCTAACACTTGGGTACCAGAATAAGATGACGAAGGTTCAAACTTTCCTTGCAACAGCTTATATAAGATATTCATCATTCTTTTAATCTATAGTAAAAATATTGATAGTTAACATTCAATCAAAAAAAATTAACATGAAATATACATTTCATAATGCATATAAAAAATATTACAGTTTTAAACATACAAAATTCTTCACTAAGAATAAAATAATTAATATATTTATTTGTCCATGTTTGGACTTGAGAGCATTTATGAGAACAAAATTTAACTTATGACAGGATAAACACCGCTTTTAAAGATATCAGGTTATAAGCAATTTTGAAATTTATCTTAATGAGTTATTTTTCAAACTATGAGAAAAACATTGTTTAACATTTAGAATATAAGACAAATCACATTACAATCAAACTACTTTGGCAAAATTGATTAAGGTGTTTATTGAAATCTATGTGACTTCTCTTATTGTCTAAACTGTTGGGTCACACTGTATTTACCATTTTTTAATTAAAATGCATATGCTCTTGAAAATAAAGCAGTAGAAAAACAGTCAATTAATTCAATAAAAACAACAGAACTAACTGATTAAGGAAGTTAGTCACAAAAACTGTCTAACATGTAGGTATTTACACTATTTACATAAAATAGATTTAAGAGAAAAATACCTCTCCAGAAAAATCAGGAGATTCTGTTGACGCTACAGAAGATTGAGCCTGCTGTAGTTCCGCTTCCAGCTTTTTCATTACGCTTTCATAATTTTCTTTCATTTGCAAAGTTTTCCGATAAAAGACCTCATACTAAATAAATAAAACATTCATAAAATTTAGCAGGGAGAGAATGCATCATAGAATGCACAGAATTGCATTTTAAGAAAAAATACATACTTTTCCTTTCCAAGGTAATGCATTTTGAAGTTCTCCTTCAAGAGCGATCACTTTTTCTTTCAGCAAGGATTCAGATTTCATTGTGGCAGAATGCTACAGAAAAATCAATTAATGGAATAGAATATACTTATTAAATTACAATGATTTATTACATACCAAACAGTTTGTGCTAAATAAATTGATAGTTTTTCGTCAGTACAAAAATAAATATTGTCCTTAACTTTTTTTTTAAAAAAATAAAACATCAAACTTTGTTTGTGTGATAAAGAATTTGTTAAAACAAAAAAGAATAACACGATGTGATCAATGAAGATTAAAACCAATAAAACGTAAATGAATCTTATATTCATATAATATAGTAAACAAAAAGAAGAAAAAAAACAGAATTATAGCAAATAAAATTATTTTAATGTTCTTTCGATGTGTCAAATAAAAAAAAAGTGTAGCAATACCTCTGTTGCCATATTTTTATACTTTGATACTAGAGCATCATTTTCTGCTAGAGCTTCTTGCAACTTCCTTTTCAAAGCAACAATTTCTTCATTATTTGAGGACACCTAAGTGAAATACAGAAATATAAATAACTAAAGAAATTGAATAATAAACTAAAAGAACATATTATTTCATAGATTTTAAAAAATTAGACTCACTTTAATTTTTTTTTAAAGTATCCTTTACAATTACATGATCAAATAAATTTAATAAAAAATCCCAATTAACAGAATTTTATACGGAGTTTTTCTTTACTTGTCTAAAATAAGCTTTAAGAATAAAATAATTATTTTAAGAATGAAAATTTAAAAAAAAAGGTTCTATTTAAATATAGCAAAAATTTAAACTTAGCAGACAAATTATGCAATAAAAATAATAAACACACAAAAGAAATGCAACAAAATACTAAAAAAATAATATTTTTTTTAAAAATTGCATTACAAAAATTTCATATTAACTTTGTTTTCAATACGTGTGCTTATGATTTGATTCAATTTTTAATGCATTTGACTTTTGTCCTTTAACTTAAACATACCTACAACATAAGCTGGTTTTTCTGTATGTTATTAGTACAGTAAAAAAAAATTGCACAAAGGGACTTTCTACAGATTTTTCACTCAAAAATTAAAAACTGTAAAATAATTAAGAAAATCCCACAGCATATGAAAGCAACTTTGAAACATTTAACATAAAATTAAATCAATTAATGCTAAGTAAAAATTTAAAAAGTTAAGAGTTATAGACTTATAAATAAAAAGAATAAAGTAATGTAAATTTTTAAATCTATTTCGCTTTAAAAAAAAGCAATTTTAATATTTTGCTTACAGCAATGAAAAAAAGTAAATGAAGCAAGCTATAAATTTTAGGGATTCAAATATAGGGCTAAAAAAATTTTCAAATTCTTATATAATAAAACTTATACGACTAATAAAAAATTTATGTAGCGGATTTAAAATGCAAAGAACAGAAAATTATTCAGATAATAGAAAAGCATAAAATGGTTACATGACATTCAAAATGTAATGTCAGATTATTTAAAATTATTTATTATATTGATTATATTAAAAATATTTTTCATACAATAGAAAAGAGAAAACTGAATAGTACCCACCCATAACAGAAAAATAAAATACTGGCACTTATTTGTAGGGAAAAAAATTCAGCTAGAATATACATAGCATAAGTTTAAAAATATGCCAAAAAAAAGGGACCACCCTAAATAACTTTTGATCTAATGAGCGGATTGTTATGTTCTAGGACTCAATCTTAATGGTTCTAGTAGGGGACCTCAAACATGCTAATTAATTAGAGCAGACGATAGTTTAAGTAACAGAATCAAACATCACTTTCACAGAATAAACATACCTAATTTTTCGACGGATATTGATTTCTGACCTCCAAAAAAGAGCTGCAATATGGGAAGTATGGTTCCCATAGTTTGATCAGGAGAGCGATCCAAAGTTTAGACACCTTAGTGTTCATCTTACTTTCTGCATATTTTGCCATATCTAGAGAACTTTTTAAGTGAATTGAAAAATTTTACACTCAATTATAAAATTTATTTGTCCAAAGATAATCCCATGCCAAAAATACATTTTTATAAATATTTATTATTCCTTTTTAGTTTATTTAATAAAAGTCGAAAAAGTTTAAATTGTGTGGTCTACAATTTTTTACATCATTTTACATGACAAAATACAAAATTTGAACGAAATCGGTTGAATAGTTTCTGAGAAATTGATTTTTAAAAAAGTAATATTTTTAAGATTCGATTTGGCAGGAAAAGATACAACCGATTTCGATCAAATTTTGCATTTTGTCAAGCAAAATTACATACTTCAAAATTATGGAAAAAATTTTATACCCTACAATTAAAAATTTTTCGACAATTATATAAAATAATAAATATTTAATTTTTATGGAATTATCTTTAGGCAAACGAATTTTATAATTGTGTGTGTAAAAATTTTTCAATTCGAAGTTCCTGAAATCTGATGAAATATGCAAAAAGTAAAACTAACATTAAGGGGTCCAAACTTTGGATTGCTCTCCTGTCCAAACTATGGAGATCATATTTCCCAGTTTGCGGTTACCCTCTATATTTTGGGTGTCAGAAATTTGAAAAAAAAAAAGATATGTTTATTCAGAGAAAGAACGTTTTTGTATCTGATTTTGCAACTTAAAATATCATCTGTGCTAATTAATTTAGCATATTTGAGGTCACCCCTATGAATCATTAATACTGAGTCCTAGAACATAAAGATCTGATCATTAGATCAAAAGTAATTCCAAGTAGTCTGTTACTTTCATGCCAACTGTACTCACATTACCAAATGAAAAATTACAATTTAAAAAATTTACAAACCTTTGAAGCTGTATCGCTATCTATTTGTTCCTGCAAAGTTTGCAATTCCTAGAAGGAGAGAAAATTTACAATCAATACTTAATATAAAAAATGATTAAAAATATATATATTTTTGAAATAAGATAAAAAGTATACTTGCTTTATTTTTTCCCGTTAGATCTTTGCTTAGTTTAGCATATTTTTCTTCCCAGGATTTTATTTGAGAGTTCAAAACAGTTTTTTCCTCAGATAGTTCCTTTATTTCTGTCTGAAGTATGTTTGTAGATGATGAACTCTCAGATTCTAGACACCAAACAAAAACAGGTTACAAAAAGTATATGCTTCAATCGGATAATACAACCAAAAAGAAATTTAAAAATATTTGAAGGGTAAAAAACTATTAGCATACATCAAAATATCAATACATATTATAGTGATTACTTCAAGCTCATAAACTCAAGTTTATGTAACTTTTTTTAATGAGGAATTTTCTGATTGAGTAAAATGAACCAAAATCAGTCTGTATTATTAAACATGTAGGTTTTACTAAGAATGCAGCACAGATGAAACAGTCAAATTGGAGAATTGACTAAATATTAACTTTATTGAGCTTAAATTAAATTAATTTTATAAACAGTGAACAATATAACTAGCACCTTGAATAACTTTTGATCAAATGATTTGATTTTCAAGTGCTAGGACCATATCTTAATGGTTTGATGGTCTAACCTTGAATATACTAATTCAATAAAAAATCGTACTTCCTCTGAATAAACGAACTTTATTTAAACAAACTTGGATTCTCAACCTTTAAAATACAGGGGATAACTAATACGTGGAAAATATGGCTCCTATAGTTAGGTGAGAAGAGCAGACAAACTTACAAAAATTTTCTTACTTATTCAAATTATAGTTTTTCTCAATAAAATTTGCTCTCAGAAAAAATAAAACCAAACCATAAATCAAAAGTCATCCCTCACCCTGAAACTTAAAGTCAGTTATCAGTTCAGAATTTATTTTACATAAAAACTGAAATATTTTTATCTTATGCTTAATTATGGTCCGTCCTAAAACCATTTTCTTAAATTCAGTCAACCTGATGAGAGGCTTTTGTTTCTTCTGTAACACAAATTAAGCTAATTTTTAAAACAAAATCAAACCTACAAAATAATAAAAACTTTAAAGCAAAGCATATGAAAGTTTACTATAAGTAAATTCCAAATGTAGTATTGGACATGTATATACAGTGAATTTGCGATAACTCGAATCTGATAGGACTGGCGAAAAACTTCGACATATCGGAAATTCGACTTACCGTTAGCTTCGGTTTTGGACTTTCAAAATATTGTTGGATTATTTATTACAAATTATTAATTACAAATCTTCTAAATGCTTACAATATTTAAGATCATTTTTCTGACAAGCCATTTACGATAAGACTGTTTGAAGCACTTTATGAAACCCTGGTCCATCGGCTGCAACTTTGCTGTTGTGTTTGGCGGGAGAAACTGCAAGTTTACGGCTTTCAAATTAGGTAGATCACTATGCGCTGTGCATTTATCCATTAAGAGTATCACTTTTCTTTTTTTAGCGAAAAATTTCCGATCCAATTTTCTACATAGTCTTCAAATAAAACTGATGTCGTTCATAATTTTTTGTTAGACTTGTAATCCAAAGGATACGTTTTTCCATTCTTGAAACATCGGGGATATCGGTATTTTCTGTTAACAAGTAAGGGCAATTTCTCTGTCCCAGACGCATTTCCTCCAACTAGGACAGTCAAACGTTCCTTGGACATTTTGCCCCCTGAGCAGTTTTCATTGTTAAACATCATAGTCTTATTTGGAAGACATTTAAAAAATAAACCCATTTCATCAATATTGAAAACATCATTTTCACTGTATCCTTGAAGTAAATTTGGTAACGTTTCATTTAACCACTGTTCACATACTTCAAGAGGGACAGCTTTAGCTTCTGCATGAAGAGTGCGAAAGACATTGTGTGTGTTTTGCAAAGTAAGGGGGCAAGATATCAGCTCCCAGATTTCTTTTCTTGCTTTAAAAGGTCCAAAAAAAATCGAGTTAAAGGGAGTAAAATTCGAGTAATCGAGAATAATTAACATGAAATTGAAGATAAAAGGGTCGGGACCTCATAAAAAAATCGAGTTATAGTAATACTTGAGTTATCGTACTTCGAGTTATAGCGAATTGACTGTATATATATATATATATTCTAGTATGATAAATATTTTTTAAATGTCCAAGATTGTACAAAATTGTACAGTATCGTCTTGGTACAAACTTCAAACGCTAATTTTTGGATTAAATAATATAGAAAGAGACCAATTTTTGTAACAAGAAGAAACCAGTTAAAAGTTTCCAAAAACCTGAAAATAAGACCCAGAGTTATATAGAATAAGAGATACAAGTAACAATTATAATTCAGCATTTTGCGCAGTTAAATGTTGCACCATTAAATATTTATACTGAAAGTGATTTATAAAAACAAAATAAAAACTACACTTATCTAAATACACATTTTGAAATGAAAATGAAAAATTTAAAGTATATTACAGTAAAAAATTTAATTCAGGAAGAAGAAAAAAAAGATGAAATTTAAAAATTAGTGTTAAACATGAAGAAGAAAAAAAAATTAAATACCTAATTTTTTTCTTAAAGCACTAAGTTTTCCATCCAGCTCTTCAGCATGATTTTGTTCCTCTTGTAGCTTTTGCTTCAATTCGATTTCCTGTTTTTGATGGCTGGCAAGCTCAACTTCTACAGATCCAAGTTTACGAAGAGCATCAGAAAGTTCAGTGGACAGTTTTGCCTGCAAAATTTTAATTAAATACAGTCCTTGAAATCTTACTTGATAAAAAAAAATCAGTGACATTAACATCTTTTATTATAAGTAAACAGTTTCTAAGTACCTTTTCCTTTTCCAAAACTATAATTTTAGCTTGAGTTTCAGCAGAGGCTGCATGAAGAGAATCACTTTTCTGTTCCAACATACTATTACTTTCTTCAAAAAACCTGAAAAATGAAATATCAATAACTGTTGTTAAGGTGGTGCAAGCAATACATTTGCTTGAAGCCGTGCAACAGAGATCTTAAAAAAAACTTTATAATCTTAAAAATTAGAGCTTTTAAATATATTTTTTTTTTTTTATATTGAGAACACAAATTATTATTTTTTCCCTTTGATTCAATCCTATTAAATGATAAACTAGGCATGACTACTGAAGGAGGATTTTTAGAGACCCACATTACTAGAGACACTACACAACAAATAATAATTTTAAAAAAATCAATAATGGAATTACTAAATAAGATGTACTTAAAACATTTTTAGATGCTTATTTCAATGAAACTCATATCTGATATATCATTAGTAAAAATTAAACAAAAGCAAAAAAAAAAAAATTTAAACTAAAATTAAAAATTACATGGAAAAAGTGAAGAGTTGTTAAACTCTTATGAATAAAATATGAAAGGAAAAAACTTGCACATTAATTTCTATAATTAAGGTAAAAAGTTATCAATTTTTCTACAGGCCCCTGCAGAAAAGAAATATTTAAAAGGATCCATAAATATCATGACCCTTGCAAAGTCTAGCGACAGTTCTGAAGAACTTACCAAACTATGAACATAAAGGCAAATTTAATTTAAAATAAGGTTAAATTACGAAATTCAGGTAAAATTTAAATTGAAATTATAAAGAGATAATTGTCCTAACAGGTTCTTCTTATGGCATGTTTTATTAAAGGTGTATAGTAATCGAATGTTATAAACAAAAAAAAGTTGTAATTTTTATTAAAGTTAAATTGATAAATGCATTAATTATGTCACATTCTCCCATTTCATTTTGAACAGAGGCAAAGTAAGGTGATGAGAATTATTCAAAAAATCGAAAAGGGTTAAAAATTATTTTTGTGAGCCTTAGCCTTGCCATGAGCCTTAGCTTAATGCAAAATGGTGTTTAGAAAGTTTGTTTTTGGTTCTGAGTTGTGGCATACTTAGAAATATATTTTTAAATTTGAAATACAATTATTATCCAAAAATGCAAAGCTTTTATCATAATAAAATACAATACAATATAATAAAATGTAATATAATAAAATACATAGTTGACAATGAAAAGGTAAAAGTGCTAAAATTCTAAAACAAAAGCAATTACTTCGTATGAACTACATCTCTTTCATCAATAAATAGATAAACAGTAAAACCTCTTTATGTTCTACAAAAAAAGGTCATTAATGGAGGTTGGTTGTTCTTGAGGGTTAGCTCCATTAACTTCAAAATGTTATCAAAGTTACATGATTTATCACAAGCGATTTTAATTTCACTTAGTGTCATTTTCTAGGTGCAGAAATGCCACTTGTGTTGGCATCATAAAAACCGGATTGCAGAATAAAATTTAGCGTCATTAAAAATGATATAATACTGATATAATTATTTGTAAAAATAAATTTACAAATTCTGAATGATAAAACTATTTTAAATAAATAATCAAATATGTTTTTGTTTAAGTTTAACATTTAATTTTATATCATAAAAATTAATTTAAAAAATTAGAGTTTTTTTTTTTTTTTTGATGCTTAGTTTTTCTCTAAAATAACTTTCTTTTCCAATTTAACTTTTAACTCTGAAACTAAATCATGATAGCATCGTTTTTAGTACACTCTGACTCAGGGCTCGAAAAAACTCAGAAATTTTACCCGTCCCCGAGGACGGCTTGTCCAACAATGCACCCGTCCTCCTTTGAAACTAACCCGTCACTTCTAAATAAATAAAAACATAATTTTCTCTTATTTATTGCAAATATTTATATAATTGCACAATGAATTAGTAGTTACTAGGATTACAAATACTAGGATTACATTATACAGTAATAAAAGATATACTAGGTTACTAATAGTAACCTAGTATTTCTTTTATGAAATAATTTAAATGACAAAGGTCAAGTTATCTGGAAAGTCGATTTATCCGAGGGTACTGCGTTTTTTAAATGAATCAAATGGGACGTTTGCCAGTTCTACAATCAAGCCAATGATTTACAGAGGTTTCTGCACAGAAATCTGAAAGGGGTTTTCCATTTAGGTAGATGTTCATAATTACGTTCAACACTTCTTGTTTAGGACCAGTACGTAATGTTTTTTTTTAACAGTGACGCCACGAGCTGGGCGGTATGTGATCAAAGGAATTGTTAATTCCTTCGTTAGAAATCCAAATGCACATGCACAGAGCAGCTTTTATTTTGTTTACCGATTACGTGAGCAAGCGCACTTGGTCAGACGAAAGAATTAACGGAATTTCTAGATTAGAGGATCATTTTATAAGTGAAGCGCTAAACTTTTGTAACAAAAATTGAAAATGCATCACGAACATTAAAGGGCAAATGGCTGTCCGCGCGGACGTCAGATTCGAGAAATTCGTTGTCCGCGGGGAATTTTTGACCGCCAAGGACGGGCAGTTTTTCGAGCCCTGCTCTGACTGTAACATGAGGTTGTCAATCTCCAAAAAGAGCTCTCTAAATAAGAGGGACTCATGCACATATATTTTGAACACATTTAAATCTACTTATTTGTTTTAATAATATTTTTCAGTTTGATACTTTTTTATGTTTCCTTATTTGACCTTTCCGCATTTGGCTCGGAGGTTCGCTCGGTTCCTGGGAGAGGTTTTGATGGTCTCTCCTAAAAATTTTCTTCAACACTAAGTCAATGAAAAAAATTCCTAACAAAAGTGGTCGTAAATAGAGAAGGTTGTTACACGGAGGTGGTCTTTCTCAGAGGTTTCACTGTAATATTATGGAGCGACACATTATCATTAATAAATTCAAATAATACCTTTGATTTCTTTGTAAGAGATCATAAATTTTTTCATTCAGCGATTGTATCTTGGAGTTTTTAACTTCAACATCTTCTTTCAGTTGGCTGTTTTCCTAAATTAAACAAATATAATTGGAAGAAAAAAATTAAAAATAAGTTAAAAAAAATAATTGCATCTGGAAAGTTACATTATGATAGACAAGTATTGCCAATTACCCCAAATGCACCTCAACTGCATGCAACTGTAACTTTACATTAAACCCAAAAGATGGATTTTATTTTTTTAAAAACTTGAAAATATTGTAAGATTGTTAAATTTAACAATATCACATCTAATCCAATTGATATTAAAGATTTTAATGATAAAAGTTCTCCTAAATAAAATTCCTTATTTACTTACTCTCTTCCTGAGACTTGTGTTTCGATTTTGTTGAGATTGCAGAGAAAATTTAAGTAAGAATAAAAGTTGTATTTATTGTATTGTTAAGCAAAACTTAAATATCAGATTATAATTTATATATTATGTCAATTGAGATTTAATAGTAACTAATTTTGGTAACCAAGTGCTTCATAATTACTAATGAAGAATCAACCTCAGTTAAATTATTATAAATATGTTTTAAATTTCTAGATGAGAGTTAGAGATTTGGTGTGAAGACAAACAATTATCATAGCTAAAAAATAATGGAGTCTCAAAAAATTCTTTTGTAAAATCTGTTTCTTTACAGATAAGTCTAAAGCAGATGTAAGCAGCATATAAGTTATACTGTTGAATTTCCTTGAATTAGTTTTTGTGATTTTAAGCTAAAAAATACTACAATTCGCATTGTCTGGTAATTAAGTCAGGCTAACATTTTGTCTATTTGATATAAGCTAATTGCAATTTCGAATTGCTCTGTTGCTTTATGATTTCCATTATTTGAATTAGCGTTACAGCTCAGAATATGATTCCTTAAAGAATTAAAAAGCAGTTTATACAATACAAACAAATATTAAATCAATAGATTTTCACCAAACATAATGCCGTCAAATCTTCTTTAACAATTATCTCTAAACAATAGTAATCTCTAATTAACAGTCATATATTAATTGAACAAAATGACTTCATTAAAATTAAGATCTGGAAAAAAACTTAAACAGCTATTTTTCATAACTACCGCATGTTGCTGGTGAGAATTTTATATCAGGGCGTATTTTAGTCGAAATTTTTTAATCGTAAATTTCAGATAATTTTTACTAACCATTACTAAACAGATTATAAATTAGTCAATTTTGTCTAGGATGTAAGGAGCAGACAGAGGTAAGCAATCATAATGCTGAAGAGGTAAATGAAGTCACGGAAATTGATCTAACTAGTTGCAGGAATAAAAACATATTCTGATATTCTAAAAAATGCAGTAACTTTTAGATTTTTACTATCATAAAGGAATCACGCTAGTTCAATAATAAAGGCACTGGCTGTCATTGTTAAAGGCTGAGTTTCTATACCCAGTGGCAGCTAGAAGTTAACTCAATTTTAGATTTATAGGTATCACTAATTTGTCTGGAAATTAAAGGCAGCCAATGTACAATGCCAATCACAATGCAGTAGATCTTCAATTGATCGTTTCTCAAGGGACCATTCGCTATGAGCAACGATGCGTAGATACGGGAAAACAACGAATGTGGGTCAACTTTATATATCAAATAATGACTAGAAAATGTATGAAAATTAATAAATTTACAATAAATATAAAAAATGTTAATTGAAAAAATTTAGTACTGCCTGCAAAAATATTTACATTGCAAAAGAAGGATAAATAAATACATTTATTTATTTAAAATATTGAAAAGTTTGTTTCTCTTTCTCATTTACAGTGCAAGCAATAAATTCTTCATTTGTTATAGATTACTGTTCATTTTCTAAAAGTTTGTGTAAATACAAAAAGAACCTCAAATACTACAATGCCTCTCACAAATGCTTGCTCTAACTGAAGGTGTTAGGTCTGTTCTTTATCAATATCACTATGCCCTTCTTCAGCTACTACAACCATTTCTTGAACAGACAACATTAAAAGTTTTTTTTCAAGTGATGCTTAAACACACCCGTTATTTGAGGCATTTTACCTAAACTGTAACAAATCCACATTTTCTTCATTATTAGCATCAGGAGTTATTTCTCAAAACAAACTAACTTCTATGTTTTCTTCAAATATTGGTAGAATTTCTGAACAACAGATGCAGGAATTTGCTAGTTTAAAAAACAATCGAAAAGGGAATTGTTATGAGAATAGCATTTGTGAAAGAACCTTTAAAACTGTACAATACTTACGAGAACGAACGATTGAGGTTCGACTGTACCATCATTATGTCATTGGATTCCAAATTATGAAGCCATACCTTATTATGACCACATCAATACATGGCTGTTACAAGAGCAAAAAACTTCATGGCTATATTTTTAATGATGAAGAATTTTATCATGAAACTATTAATATCATATCAAATCTGAATATAAAAAACAATTTTAAAAAGGAAAAACACCTTTGAATAACTGATTTCTTTGATTTTCATAGTTTATTCATAGTAGGGTAATGAATAGATAAATTAACTAAACATTAGTAACTTTTTAGTTGTGATTTAGTTTACATTTTTGTTGTTTGATACTGTTAGATTTATTTATTATTATATTGTGATAAGTACAATTGATAAAAACTCTGAATAGTGATCCCTTCTTAACACCAGTTACAATGAAAAAGTCCTGCAAAAAGCCATTATAAAAGGTTTTACTGTAACAGTTTATTTTAAAATTCTAACTAGAGAAAAAGGGTTAATACAAAAAATTTACCTGAACAATTTTTTCTATGCTCTGCAAGAGCAAAGAACTATCCATATGTGATGAATGACTCAATCCTACTGACCTTCCTTGATTATAGCGTACATCATCTACCTAAAATTAGTATATCGGTTTTATTCATTTGAAATAACTTCTCTTTAAACATTCAGCGGATGGTTTAATAATATTTCTTAAAACTAACAAACTACTTTATAAATTTTTACATCTCTTGTTCTTTCACATTAAGAAAAAATATTCACACATTCTTTTAAAGTTAATTTTTAAATTTTTTTTCTTTCAAATTGTAAATTACTTAGTATCCAAAAAGTGTATTAATATGTCATATGTTAATCAAAAGCTCTTAACTGAAATGATTTTAAAAAAATATGCCATTTTTAAAATCATTTATGCAAAAAAAAAAAAAAAATTCTTGCTTCAAACAAATATTTTTTTCATAAAACAAAGTACAGTATTATACCTTTTGATTACAAGCTACTGTACGGCAATACCTTTTACAGTGATATTGATGAAGCGTCAATATATAGGACACAATAGAACTAATAAATAAGATAAACAGCAATGTGAATGAAATATGAATAGGTGTAAAAAAATATTAAATAAACTAGAGTAAATAACAATGGATATGAAATATGAATGCAAGGTGAACAGAAATGATTATAAAGTATGAATGCAGAAGAAACAAATTTTAAAAAAATGAAATGAAATTTTAATGAAATGAAGAAGAAACATTAAAGAAAAGTGAATGCAGGGGAAACGACATTAAGGAAAAGTGAATGCAGGGGAAACGACATTAAGGAAAAGTGAATGCAGGAAACAGCATTAATGAAAAATTAAAGCAAGGGAAACAACATTAAGGAAAAATGAATGAAGAGGTAACATTTAAGAAAAGTGAATGCAGATAAAACATTATAGAAAAATGAATGAAGGGGAGGCAACATTAAGGAAAAGTGAAAGCTGAGGAAACAAACAACATGAGGGAAAAGTGAATGAAGAAGAAAGAATAAAGAAAAGTGAATGAAGAAGAAACAATAAAGAAAAGTGAAAGAAGAGGAAACAACAAGAAGGAGAAGTGAAAGGAGAGGAAATGACAGTTTTAAACTGTTTACCTTTTGTATCACAGTATCTATCTTCTCAGTAATTTTAGACAAGCTTAGTCTCACTTCAGTGTTTTGACTTCGAGTTTCAGTAATTAACATAGGTAGGTGAGTGTCCACCATACTAGTTGTCACCTGTGGGACCAAACTTGGCATGCCTTGTAGGGAATATTGAGACAGTTGATATTGACTAGTCATTTGTGGTTGAAAAGCAGGATAGGCCCCAGGGGATGGCTTCATGTATATAAACAAAAGGCTAATCAAACATTACTTTAAACACATTTAAATATTCATCTCAATGATAAAAAATAAATTAAATAAATGAATCAATAAATAAAATATAAATTAAACTTTTGATTTCAAATGCACATGCAAGGTTTTAATCATATTTTATAAAAAAAACACTCTACATTTTTAACTTGTGGCTTAATGCAAAAAAATTTGGAATTGAAAACGGTCGGACACAATTTATTTTTCCTTTTTTTAAAAAAAAAAAGCCCATCACAATAAATGCTTTTGAATTTACGAAGTTATATTTCTCGGACAACAATTTTGTTTAAAAGTGCTATTACTATCATGAAAAAATCCTTACAACGATAAAAAAATTAAGCAACTGTTTATAGCTATAACATTCTAAAATATTTAACAAGCAACAGATTGTATTTTAAATTAAAACAAGTTATTTTAATTGTAAATGAATTACATGTTAGGAAATTAATAAAAAAAATGCATTTACAGTGATCCCTCGTTTTTCGCGGTTAATGGGGACCAGAACCTTCCACGAAAGCTGAAAAACCGAGAGGTAGGATTTGCCCCTAGGAATTTTCGTGTATGCGGGTACACAAATGTCTTAAATATGTAAACAGTATTTATACTTTACACATTTAAGACAAAAATTACAACAGTATACGTATTTACTTAAACGTGTCAGTGCTAATTAATAAGGTTTATTACAAAACCTGATACAGTAATAAACATTAATCAACATTGCTTTCTGAGAGAAGGGAAGAGTTTTGTGTTGGTGGCAGATGAGAGGCTCTCACTTGACTCATAGAAGTTTTAGGAATATATATGAGAGCAGGGGGTATATGTACTCTGAGTCAACTTATCTCTTTGTTTGACATGCAGGGATACTTTTCTCTCGCGCATCAATATGAAACAACGCTCCTTTCCACAATGTGGCTGCCGACAAGGTTGTATTTTTTAATTTTTTGATTAATATTTTGGAAAAACGAGAGACTGCACTGAAGCTGCAAAACATGAAGTGTGAAGTGATGAGGGAACACTGTACTTTTTAAAAGAAGAAAAAAAACTTAAAAACAGTAAGTTGAAGCTACATAGTTAACAAAAAAAAATTAACTAAGTATTTAACAAACAATAGAAAGATATATATTTCTTACATTAAAAGAGGGGTGATTAGTTAAAACTGCTGGTGGATAAAATGGTACTGATGCACTTGGCTGTTGATTGGCATGAAATACATTTGCTTCTGTAAAAATAAATAAAAATATAAACAAAATATCAAAATTTAGGGCGACAAGTAAAGCTGTGTATTTGAAGATACTTGCATTTTAACTCTTTTTCCTTCAGAGCAAGTCTTAAAATTGTAAGGATTTTTTTTTACACATATGTAATTATTTGCTTAGAGGTACTACTTATATATTTTACAATTATTTGAAGAGTATTTCTTTTTTTAACAATTTGACATTTTATAACGCATAAGCATTGCTCATGCAAAATCTTGAGAAGCAAATTGTTACATTTTTGTCAAATTTGGTATTTAGGAAAATAATTTGCCAAACCTATTTCTTTTTTGTGTTGCTATTTAATTACAACATCTCACAATCAATTATAGAGATACACTTGAAATTTAGATAAAAATATGTGGAAATGGAAGAATATTTGAAACTATGACGTAAGAAGAGTAATGTAATTGAATTAGCTAGTGTATATATATACGCACACACACAATCAAACTTCTATTACTCAAAGTTTTGATAATTTTGGTTTCAAAAATGGTCCTGGGTTTCAAAAATGTATTTTTGAAACCCAGGCGAAAATTCCAAATGTAACTTTGAAAGTTTTTCTTCATTACTCCAGAGTTTGATCAGTGGATTTTTTCAACAAATCAAAGAAAATTTCATTTCACAAACATCAATTTTAATCTATTAGTCGATTTAAAACAAATTTACAACCTAAAAATACTTTATAGATTATAAAACGATTCTCAGCTAACAGCGCAGGGAATAGAAAGAAACCAACAACTTTGGGAAGGAAAATTATCTAAATTTCCCATCATTGTTATTATTATGAAAAATCTACGCAAAAAATAGTAAATAGGGACATACATAAATCCTAGTTTTATTTCAGGGTGGCACAATGAAATGTGTGACAATTACCCTCACTTTTTGTTTGGGAAATGATCACTTTTGTATGAGAAATGATGCACACAGTTTTGGATATTAAAAGATTGTTATCAAAAACCTTCGACCACATGCAGTTACACTAACATGTGTTTTGTCGGAGAATTCTGGTTTTTGTTTGTGTTTCATAACTGTTTTGTTTGTTAGTCTTTTGATGTAAATGTTTTTGAACATTGGTATAAATTTAGCATTAATTTGAAACTTTACAAAAACTTAACAACATGGGTGATGGGTATAAATTTTGAATACTGGCTACCAAAAATTTTGAATTTTTTTTTTTTTTTTTTACTACTTACTGAAGAATTGTCCAACATATCCTATTCAAAATTATGATTCAAAATTTGCTATCCATAAAGCTTCTCTTCTTTTTACCCAAATTGATATCGAACTGTTATACTATGGTTCAAAGCTAAAGATAACATATTTTAATCAGTTTTCAATTAATCGAATTTTCAATAACAGAAAGTATTTTTTGCTTGCGAGGAAGCTTTGAGTTATAGATATTTCACTGTAATATATATATATATATATATACATATATAACCATTTATGCATTGATTTATTATAAATATTATAGTACAGATTTTATTATAAATATTATAGTGCACCTTAATATCAGAATAAATATCTATATTTGATACAATTTAAATCTGAATGGTAATGACATTCCAAAGCACCTGACTTTTTACAGCACAAAATAAGATACCATCTTTTTTTTTTTTTTAAAAAAATAAAAAAATAAAACATTTGTTACATCGCAAGGTGACAGTAAATTCTTACCTTGAACAGATTGAAGTTGAGCAGGTTGAGCTGAAATCAGATGATCAGAATTCTTTCTAGAGGAAGATCTCGAAGCAGGTTTAGGTGAAGATGTTCTGGATCCACCAAGTTGGACAGGAGGAGTAGCTTTTGCATCCTGAACATCTTCCTAAAGAATAAGTAAAGGATTTATCCATAATTATATGCATATTTTTTAATACCATTACACTTCTAGTGACTTAGATTAATTACAGCAACCATTGATATCATAGTTGTAGAGTCAAAAAATAGTTTCACAAGATTGAGAATTTTTCTATGCATGGGAAGGGGTCAAAAGACAATTTTAAAACAACTCATTAAATTACTGCAATTTTCTATCCTTGCAAAAACAATGTAGGGAATGTGCGGAAAAGTTTAAATTCCTGCATGAAACAGTATCATATGGGAATTCACAAACCTTTTACATAATTTTTTCTTTTTAATATGACTGAAAAACTTAGAAATTATTATATGGCATTCTGAGAAAAATAAAATTTTTGAATTTAAAAAGTTTAGCAGTCCTTTGTAAGACATAAAATATTAAATATAAAATAAGTTACAAATGTTTGTTCATTTTGGATAAAGACAATTTGCAAAAAATTTTGTGATGTTTCTATAGAATCTAAGACTAATTCTCATTAAAAAAAAAAATGTCACTTAAGATATTCTCTCACAAAACGATTAAATAATGTTTAACAAAAATTATTTTATTCATTACGAAACATTTTTTTCCTATTTTTTTTCTTTTAGAAATTCATTTTTAGATTTACGCCTCTGATAAGATAATTGAAAATGCACAACTATTAAGGCAATAACTAGTTTTCTGATATTGCTTTTTTTTTTCTCAAAAAAAAGGAGAAAGAAAAATTAGAATTCTAAGAAAATGGAACAATATTTAAACACCAAAAAGCATATTATTCCCTAAGAGAAAAAGTACACTGTACCAGCATAGTCCTTAAAAAGTACACAAATGAGTTACTGATATGTTTTGACTCAAATACGCTTCATATGAATGATATAACAACTAGATAGCTTAGTTATAAATTAAAAATAAATTCATCATTTATTAGAAATTCTTATAGCATTATAATTTTATGATGACAAAAATAGTGCTTGTTGCAAATAAACAGTTTACCTTTACCACTACAATTAATTATGGATATCATGCAATTCCTTGAAACTCTTTGGCCTTTGGAACTTACTTGATATTGTTTCTTTCGCCAAGAAATCTAAATAAGTTGTGATCTGGATGGTTAAAGTTTAGATAATTGAGAATTTTATTGCTATCATTTAGTCTCATTGTCTTGTAATTACAATTAAATGTTTCTTATCAAAACCCTTATAAACTAGCAAAAATAAATAAATGTGAGTTGACAAACAAAAAAAAATATATTTTAGGATTTCAATTACCCTTGTTCTTGTTTCTACATTTCACATATTTTTTAATGAAAAGCTCATTGAAATAGCTCATAATTGGATATTCTTTGTACATTAAAGTTATTTTCTCAAAATTCTCAACTTTGGATTTGGCAGTGTCTACAAATCAACCTCATCAATAATTATAATCAAAACTTTTCTCAGGTGTTTCCACAAAAACCAGTGATTGTAATTAACACATTACAAGTAACAAAACTATATTAGTAACAGAACCATCAAAAAGTCCTTCATGAAAGCTAGTTTGTCTTAATGCTTGATCCAGAAATTCCCTATGAAATTAGAAGGCTATGAAGTTAAAACATTGATAGTTGTAAATTCTGAAATTGGGTCAGATATTCAATGCGGGTTATAAAATAAAATTTAAAGAAAGTGAATTGTTTATATGAATTGGTAGATAATTTCTTCTTAAAAATTTTTTTTTTTTCAAATAATAATAAATTAATTTCATCTTTATTTGCGAAAACGTTTCAGTACTTTAAGTCACTATAGACCTGAAAACTGTTCTGTAAATTTTTAATTTAAAATTAATAATGTTTAATGACACATAAATATCAATAGATGTACATAAACCTATGGAGACTTACTTCACTTTCAGAATCACTTTCAACTTGAGCTGGAATCGCTCCATGAAAAGGTAAAGTAGCAGTTCCCATTTTTGCCATTCGAGAAATCAACTGAGCCTTATCCTTCTTGGGACTCTGCAAAAAAAAAAAATCTCTGTAAAAATAATTATTACATCAGAATTTAATACATGCATTATTTTCTATTAAAAATAACCCCTTAAAATAAAATTAAAATTTGTCATAAAAAATAAATAATTAGACAGCTGATTGGATGAAATCTTATCAGTCACTGATGGTCTCTCTTTCATCGTAGAACCTTGAACAAAACTTTTTTTTTTAAACCTTCAAATTATTATTGCAATAAATATTTCTGATATTGTGGGTAAAATTTCAACATGATCAACATTTCAATTCAGATCTTTACACATGAAGTTATCTTTACCCATGAAGATAACAGATGAAGTTATCTTTAGGATATGAAGCTGTACATGTAACATATAAAAAGTAACATACAGATTCTAGTAAGGTCTATATAGTATCACATCTATAAGCTGGGATCAATTCGTGAATAAGTCACAAAACTTTAAAAATTATTGAGCTTAGAGAAAAAAATAAATCTTCAAATTTAATTCTAATCCTAAATCCATTCCTATCCTATAGGCTGTGGAAGCATCAAACTTTAATCTGGAGGGGGCAGGGTTTGACCCTCGAAGCTCCTAAGATCCACAGAGTACATGTGATATATGTGTTCATATAATCTATAGCAGGGGTATTCCAACTGGCGGCCCGTGAATTCTTTTTTTGTGGCCCGCGAACTAAAATATATTAGTTGTCATTTTTTGCGGACAATTTTCGTAAAAAATCTATATAGGTTTAAAATACTTTTCTCGTTAATAAAAACCTATTTTCTTCGTTTCTGTGAAACTTAACATACCAACGGTGCAAAAGAAATTATTTCTCAGGTTTTGCATCCAAGAAAATTATTTATTCAAATACAAAAATAATAGTATATGTTGTTCTTTTTTATTTCATTTTTTTGTATTTTGTGAATATAATTTAGCATGATCGTATCAGAAATTTTCTCGTAGAAATTCTCCGATTTAACTTTTTAAAACCACTCATTTAGGACGAAAATATTTACACACACATTTGTAAATATCTATTCTCTGGTGGTTGCAGCAGACAAACCTCAATTTTCTCATTGAACATTTTGTGTGCTACAATGTAAGTTTTAATACCAATCTTTTTGAAGTTTTATATCTTAACAACTAGATATTTGTTGCACATTAATTGTTTAATACATAGGTGCACATTAAAGTTATTGTAGCCCGAATTTTTATCATTTATTTAATATTTTTTTAAATATTATTAGTAACAATTAAGTATTTTTAAAAATATACTTATTTTAATTTGTTATTCAATACTTTTGTTTTGTACAACTTGGTAAAAATCTGACAGTAATATTTAATGTTCCTTCAAACATAAAAGAGTTCTACATAAAATTTTGATGAAGTTGTGGCCCGCCATTTGATTTGTGTTTTTAATTGCGGCCCCCGGCCTCATGTAAGTTGGAAACCCCTGATCTATAGAATGGAAAGTACCATGGTGAGTTGCTGATCAGCACCATGGGTACAGGGATATGAAGAAAATTTTCTTCTTCAGATATGTCTAAATTTTGAAGGTAACCTCACATAAATGGGAGGTGCCGCCATCTATCCAAGAGGTTCTGCGCTAAGTCGCACTTTCATCCTAGCAGTGTTCTCTTATCAAAAAAAAAGTTCTTTCTTCTGACTTAATTTGCAAAGCCAATGAATGGCGATCTTAGCTTGTCTAAGTGTCATTAGAAACAACAATATACTCGGTTACAATGAAAGTCAAAAGTACCAATATTAAAATACTGAACATATAATATTTTTTAAAAGAAATTATAAAACTATTCATGTTTCGTACCAGATCATGCAAATTAAATCAAACATCTTTTTCTCAATATTTTAAATTTATTTATAATTTACCTGTGTTAACTGTTCTGAAATAGAAGCCCCTCGTTGTCGAATATTATCTTCAGAACTAAAAAAAATTATGTTTATAATTAGGAATTTAAAATGGAATTATTATGAATGAATATAAAAATGATTAGTTATAATTATGTAAAATAAACTTTCATTTTAAATGCTAGTAATTTAAATAGAGTTAAAAGGCATCAGGTCGCAATCCAGTACTGCACCAATATAATATTTTGCAATCTAGGTTATACACTCTTTGCACTAACATTAGATGGCTCTTAACTACTTGTACTGGCAAAAAATTCACAGATGTGTTTATGCATTGCAAAGCACTGAGAGATCAATACGTTATAGAAATCAGGAAAATCTTTTTTGTGATACAAACTACAAATGACTTTTTTTTTATTTCTGTGATAATTCCCTACTGCTATGTTCAGCATGCATTTGACAATTTTTTGAGAAAAGCATCTTGTGCACAACACTTTTTTCCAGAACAAGTAGTTAAATGTGACAGTCTTAAATCAAAAAATAAAGATCAAAAGAAGGTTACCATTTGATCAAATGGAATTACAGGAAAAAAAATCATAAAAACCTTATGGAGGAATGACGAGGCTGTACTTCAGGTTTTTTTTCTGGTAAATTCTCTGCTGCTTTTAATGGGCTCGGTGAATGTGAGGAATCTCGAGATACTTTGACCTACAATTAAAAGTAAAAAATACTTTTGCAATTTACAATTACAATCTACAATCAAGGTTTGCAATTCACAAGTAACAAAAATTAAACTATTATTTAAAAAAATTTGAAATATGATTACAGACTACACATGAAAAAAAGGTTTAACTTATAGATTTTATAGGTGCAGAGTCCCCCAAAAAAAGTCCATATCTAGTTTAGAAACTTTAAAATTGCCTTGGACACAGTTGTAAAAGTAGTGTCTAGGTATAGTAAAGGGACTGTGTATTACAAAATGAAACCACTTACAGCTCCATTAGGTGGAAAACTGCCGACTAGTGTCCTTATTTTAAAAACAGTATAAGAAAGAGGGAAAAGTGAATAAAAAGTTAGAGAACTAAACCAATTTAATAACAACAGAGACCTTAGGACTTAAATGTTTGTTTATGATTCTCAATGATGTGAGGCGGCAAAACACGATTTTCTTTTTTAAAAAAAAACTAGTTATCACAAGTAATCTTTATTTCTGATGTACAAAGTTTCAACGAAGTATAAACTTACACAATTTTAGGAGTCCGTGAACATGATTACTTTAAAACCATTGAGCTGATCTTAAAGAAAATTTAAACACCTTTTTGGAAAGAATTACCGAATGATTGAATAAAGATATTTTTTCTTTGGTTAAAACTCACTTTAAAAGCAAGAAATTTTTTTTTGGGCGAAACAAGTTTCTTTTAACATTGAATGTGTAAAGCATTTAGAGTGAAAGTTGTTTTCTTCAATTCATTGAAAAATTTGCAAAACTGAGGTCGAGTTGGCAAGGTTTGTATGTATTGCTCACTAACACCAGCACACAGTGCACTCCATTTGAAGATTATATCAGGAGTAGGCATCTCTGAAATGCTGATGTTTAAAACATCCAACATTTGAATAAATATTTATTTTATTATATTAAGAAGTTTAGAGATAATAGCTTTTTTTATCCTTCAAAACCCCAGTGATGCTTTAATGTTCTATATTAAACTTTGGTAAAATATTTAAACCTCAATACAGCAACATACACTAGAAAGAAAATAATACTAATTGCTTCTAAATAATAAAGTCAAATTATTAAACTTTTAATAATTATTATATTCTAAAAGGGAAAAATGAAATTTAAAAAAAAAACATACTTTAGCTACTATGATTTCAAAAATAAGTGTAGAATTTGGTGGAACCGCACTGCCCATGCCCTCGGCACCATAGGCTAAGTGAGGTGGAACAATTAGAAGACGTCTGGTTCCTTTTTGAGCTCCAACTAAGCCTTCACTCCATCCCTGAAATAAAATGGAGAAGAAAATTATACAACAATCAGTCTAAATATAAATTATACCTTAGTAAATCCTTGAATAACACAGATATGTAAACAAAAATGCTTCAAATTATTTATCTAAATCTGTGCACTATTTCAGAAATTTTGAATTATAAAATAACACAGATGTTTTTTTTTTTTGAATATAAAAAGAAAGACTTTATTACAATAACAAACAGCCATCATACTTAGTTTGCCAAAAATAGAATGAAAAAACCGTATTTAGAAAATAATCAATCCATAAATATATTTTCAAGTCAATTCTAATCAAATACAAATTATTTTAGAAAATCATTACATGTTTGAGTGGATAATATTTGCAAACATTGGAAAAGCGGATGAAAATGAAACTGCAATTTAATGTCTCTTTAAGTGAATGAGAGCACATAGCAAATATTTTTTGTTTAAATTGACTGGACACTTAATCTGAAAAACTACTATTTTATCATACGGTCCAAACTAATCATTTAATTCTTCAAGTATCAGTCTGAAAACGTCATCTTTGCAAAAATGACATGCAGTCAGATGCAATAACAGATTTGTACCATTTACTTAATAAATAAAAAAATCACTAAATTCAGAGTTCCTTAAAATTTTGCAACTCATGTCCTTATTTCTCAGGAACTGCCCATTAGTCATTTTCAACTAAGAGTGACAAATTTTGATGTATACAGATGTGTTAGTCAGCACACACAAACAATGACACGAATGTATAGAATATAATAGTTTATTCTATACTTTAATATTTTAAAGAAATAAAATGACTACCCTATATAAAATCAAACTTATATAAATACGTAACTTTAAAACATGAACTTCATTTACTTGAGCAGTCCTTAATGAAACATTGAGTATAAAATAGATACCTTAATAACTTTTTTCCCAAGTCGCAATCGAAAAGCTGATTCAGACTGCATGTTGGTGTCAAAGACCTACAAAAAGAAAAAAGAGAAAGTTTATCTTCAAGTGAAAACATGTGTATTTGTCTAATAACATAAAAAAAAATAACAACAGATTCTTACTAACTTGACCAAAAACATAATTTGTTAACAACCAGCCAGTATATTTGACCTCGGCAGAGTCTCCAGTATCCAGAGTTGGACCTTCTCCTAGAGTAAGGTCTTGTATTATTAAGGATGGCTGATTTTTATCAAGACTATTGGCTTTAGCTAGAGCAATCTAAAAATAAATAAAAAATAATAATAAAGTTAAATTTATGTAATTCTTTTTAAAAAAAATGGTATGAGGTATTTTTTGATAGTATCAGCAAATATTTGCTATCATATGGTTAGTAGTTTCATAAAAAGTAATAAAATTTGTATACCAGAGAGATTTATTATAAGTTTTTATGCTTTCATTAAGTAAAGCAGAATACAAAATCAATTCAAAAAAATTTCATTTGTAACAACATGCCTGTAAAGGTAATTTTAATATTTTCAATTATTATTTTTGTACATTGTCAGTGGTCTGCAGATACGGAGCAAAAACCTAACCAATTGTAATAAAATGACATATACCAATCAAATAATATATCCAACTACCAAAACTATAAATCTATTTTTATTTTTAAAATAATTTTTTTTACAAATAATAAGTTGGTTACAGCAAATTATTTTATCAAGAATAAAAAATTATTTTAAGATTTAATAATGAAGTTTTAAGTCATTACAATTTAAATGTATAGCATTTAAGAAAAAAATTTAGAATTTTTTTTTAGAAATAATAATTTTTTTTACCTAGAAGATAATTTACAATTATACTAATGAAAAGAAATTTAAAGTGAGGACTCAAATTTTAATATTTTTTTTAAAAATTAAGTTCCCAACACTTCTTTTCAGAGACCTCTAATTCAAGTGTTATTACATTATGCCTGTATGTCATTCAATTACATTATGCCTGTATATCAAACTTTAATATTCATTTAACTCATATTCCTTTTACTAAACTAACCGAAAATATTCTAAATCTTAAGAGTTGCTGTTTTATCGTTTTTTCATTGCTGCTAAGATTATTTATGCCAAAATATTCTTAAATATAGGAATTCATGTCTTCAAGGAATTAGATCGGTTAGACACTAACTCTATATACGAGTATCTTCACTCGTATTTTTGCTACTTTAAGATGGTCAGTGGTCACTTGATATCGTTTGATATTTATAAAGCTTTGTCTCATATATTTTTTTGCAATTTTTTTTATTTGATTAACACAGGAAATTTTAATGAAAATACAAAAAAAAATATTTTAGTTATTAAATAAATTATACTATGAACACTAATAAAAAATGATAAAAACTTGCAAATTATTTTGTTAAACAAAAAACAATTTATATTTTAATTTAAATTTATACGAGTAAAAGAGGTTTTGATGTAACGAGATAAAGAGAGGTTTAAAATGAACTGAGATAAAGATTATTTTTAAACTATAATAAAAATACTATTAGGAATTTAAAGAAAATTTGGAAAATAAGTGATGATATATGTGACAGCACCTATCTTAAAGAATTGTGTAAAAAATAATTAGATAAATAAAAAATATATATATTTCATTATATGCTTAGCTTCTTGCAGTTTTTAAAAACATTTTAAAAACTATTAATTAATTGTATAAAGGATTGTTGTTATTTTTACCTGTTTAGCAAATTCAACAAGGGCTGTTTCGACATCAAAATTAATGGACCAGTTTTCATTTCTATCATCATAAAACATTGCATAGTTATTTTGCTGAACCTAAGAATAATTTAAAATTTAACATTGCAGAAAATCAAAATAGTTAGAAATAACAACACTAGATTTGAAAAAAAAATAGATAATTAACTGCAACATTAAACTGGAAGTTTCTTTAAAAGAACAAAAATCAACAAAATCAATACAAAAGTTAGAATGCATGAAGTTTACTCAAATAATAGTTGCAGAGCTAAAAATATTTAATTTTTTAAAGATACTTACTTGGAATTTAAAAAGTTGATGAATATTACAGGTAGCTACTTTGACTTGTTTTCCTTTATACAATAAGATTTGATACTAAAGAGGAAAAAGCAAGGGGGGAGAAAACATTTAGTGCTACTGCATAAACAATTAAAAATATAAATAAAAATAAATAAAATACATACATTACTAGCTTCATGCCAGCCTAATATTGCACACCCCAATTTTCCTTGCACTGTATAGTTACCATCAACTCTAAAGTAATAAAAATTTATTATATTACATTTAAAATAGAGGGGGAAAAACGAGATCAAATGATAGCAAAAGGGTGAAGTTGTGTGGAGGATAAGACATCAACAATAACCAATAATTTTCATTATTAGTTCCCTAGGACTTATTATATTATGAACTTAGTGACAAATAAAAAAGGAAAAAGACTAGTTCTAAAAGCCTGGAATGCAAATTAAATATAAAGAACAAAAGAGCATGCAGATTTCAAATCAGATAATTTAATAATGTTTGTGCATCACAGGTAAAAGGCAGTATATGAATTTCTTCTTCTGCGATTTTAAAATTTTTATAGTTTCTGATACAGTTTTGTTTCTTTATCCAGAAGTATAACAAAGCATTTTGTTACAAGCCTAAAACCAACATATTGCCACTTAGAAAAGAGACTATAATAGTGCAATTAGAAGTGAAAAATATTTATTCCATGAGTTATGTTGAAAAATTTAACACTTGTTGATGTAATGCCTTTTACCATAATACGTACATGGATATATTGAGTACTATAGTAAAAATTAATAAAAAAAGTAATTAATTTGATAACATTTAAGCCCTTATCCATGCTAGAAGTAGAAAAAAGCTAAACAATAAATTCTATACTATAAATTAAATATCAAATTGAGATTATAACGTGATTAGCAAAAAATAACAGCTTCTACAGACATAGCACGAAAGTAAAATAAAAAAAATTTAAAAAAATGGAAAAAGTATAAAGTTCAAATCACATTCAAATGCCTAAAGCTTTAAAAAATAAAAATAAAATAAAATAATGAAGTATAAATACAATATCAAGCAAAATTCCTGCATCTTAAAGTGTAAATAAAATAATAAGTGGAAATATTGCGTAGCGAAGCATAAAAAAAAATTAAAAGAAAGAAAATGAGTTAAATGAGATTGCTGTTCCAAATAGAAATGATTAAATGATGAACACTGAAGTGGAAAGCAAATATATACTGTATAAGTTTCATTAAACTTTTAAATAAAATGACAAATACAAATATTGTCAATGAGAAAAATCTATAAATAATAAAATATTAATTAAAAAAATATATTAATGAGTAGTACATTTAATGTTTTACATAAAATTCTACAAAATATCATAATTTATAACTAGAAATAAAGCATCTTCTTATTAACAGTACATCTATAAAATTAACTTAGAATAAATGGTACATGACACATAACAGCAAGTAAAAGAACTTACAATTTATAAGCATTTACAGCTGATGCATGGATTAATTTTAAAGTTCCAGTTCCTTGATTGCTTTGAGAATTATCTGAAAACGGTAATAGAAAATTTAATGTTTTATATTGAAATCAAATAATTAGTAAGAAGTGAATAATGATGAAATATTAACTACACAATGCAATCTGATTAGAAGATTAAGTTTAAACATATAAGTAATAAAATACTGATAGCTTTTTAATTTGAGTAATTGATGTCCTAATTATCTAATAATTATGAAATTAAGCTATTATCAAAAAGTCTAAACTTTTGATTAGCCTAAATCATTAGTGTTATTTCAACACATATTATTACAGCACAAGCTGAGAATTTAACACTCATTGGTGGTGCTTGTAACTTGAGACTTTCAATCAAAATTTTCTGAACTTAATTGAAGAAGTAGTACAATTTAAACCGATTCATAAAGTTGAAAAAAATAAGCGAAAAATAGATGCAGTGTTGTTGATTACTTGAAGTTATCACTATCAGGTTTAGTTTATTGTTTGAATTATACAAAATAGACTACTAGCTTATACTGATAATTTATTTTGAAGTACAACACAAAATGTTTTTTTCTTACTTTGCATCTTGCTTATCAAATAAATATCTCGTAATAATCATTATTCTTCTTTCAAGGCACTATGGTCTGTTATAGGCCAAGGCCATCCCAAATAGTCTTTGCCATCTGGTCCTATCCACAGCAGAGCTCTTCTAGTTTCCTTTATTTATTGTAGGAAAATCCTTCTCTACCGAGTCAACCCTGATTGGTGCTCTTCTTTGTTTTTTGTTTCCCATGGGATTCGGAAAAGTGAGCTTTTTTAATGGATTTGTATTATCAGATCAGAACAGATGTCGAAGCCATCATAGTCTATTGTACTACATAAATTTAACAATATCACAATATCAATCAATACTTTTCGTATATTTCAAAGTTAAACAAGGATCTCCAGCGGTTATTCTCATCCGAATATTTTTCTAAAGATTTTTTGTTCAAAAGTCAATAGTTTAGTTAATAGTCAATAGTTTTAAAAAGTTATAATGTAACTTGGTTATTGCCCAGAATTCACTCTTATAAAGCAAAATATGTCAAATTAGTGTTTTATAGATAATAATTATTATAATCAACAAAAAAAATATGTAATGTTTTTGCATCCCTCCAGTGCTGCCCTATTTCTTCAACGAAAAAAGCAAGATAATAACATATACAAAAAATAAATAAGAGACATAAGTATAAGAATATCCTATGCCTTACCATTCTTTTTTGGTTGCTTTGGAGCTGTAAACGTTAATGCTTGGTTGACATCTCCACTAGCTTTCTCAGATTGGAACAAACTCGAAAGTCTTGATCTATATAGAAAAAAAAAGAAAAAAAAAAGAATTTTTTGAAACAAAGCTAACAAAAGATATGATCAAATAAAATTGCAATGAATATTTATAATTTACTTAAATAATTTTGAATTATAATCTTACTGATACAATGTATAATATCAGTAAGCTGATAATCTCAGTGATATAGCGTATGATGAATTGCAACATACTTCTGTAAATCTTCAATTGAACTCAATTTGGAGTAAGACCTAAATGCCTGCCTAAACATCTCAAACTTTTCTTTATTCAACAGGAAAAAAATATTCACAATAAGTTTTTTTTCTTTTTGCACAGTAAGACAATGTGTTGTGTTTGTATAAAGAACTCCCTTTGCCAGTTGTCTGGAATATTGTTGGTGACTATGGTTACAAGTTTGAACTATTCCAAAAAGGGGTGTGAGGTAAACAGTAAAGACAAGTTTTGATAGGTGTTGTTGAGAAAGATATCAAAAGCTTCCCTCAGTAAAAGTTGTATTTTCTTGTTTCTTTAGCAGCAGATAGCACCAGACTCTGAGGCAGAAGGAATTACTTTCTGACTATAGCTGGCCAGTTAAGGGATTTAAAAGAATTTAATAATAGCTTTATATCATGAAATTCATAGATTGAAAATATCAACAAAAACTTCAATTTGTTTTGGAATGGAATCATGGCTGAATGTTTTCTGATGTTTTGCTAAAGTTAAAGAATTGTCGGTTGTTTCCATCAGTGTTGGATTTTCATACTAACTTTGAAGTGATCAGAAAATCTAAATCCATGTTTGAATCTTAAAATCTTAATCCATGTTTAAGCTTTAGTGCAATTGAAAGATATAAATTTGTGAAGAATTTACTATACTGATGCTTTTTTCAAGATAAAAGAATTACCTGAATATTTTTTTTTTTACTCTATCTACATTATTTGGATAATTTAGAAATGCTCAATTTAATTTCGAAGAAATGCGCAGAATCTTCGTATGTGGGTGAAAGGCATATTCTTAGATAGAGGCATTTCGTTTTACATATCACTCAGGAATGTTAAGTTTGCTGCTTTATGAAAAGAGCATATTTGTGCATGAAAAGATTTAATATGCCAGAAGAATTAATTTTAAAAATAAAAGAATTCATTATTGCAATTCATCTGCTATGAAATGATTTAAGATTTGCAAAATTTTAAGATATTTTGAAGAAAAGAAATAATATACACATTTTATGAATGAGTAACTTCAATATGTTTATAGTTTATCATATGCATATTTAACATCCTTAAATAGTAGCAGGGGTGATTGTGAGAATTTCTTGAGTCACAAAAAAAAACAAAAAAAAAAAAAAACAGTTTAAGTTGAAAAATTAGAAAAAAATTTAAACAAGGTTTCTTTCCTTTTTCTCAATATTTGTAAGTTTACTTGAAATATATTTAAAATTTTACACATACCTATGATGACCTGGAGAAGTAATTAAAATTTACAAATATGTCCTTCTTTCTTGAGTTTACAATTATAACAGCTATTTACTGATAAAAAATGAATATTAATCACGAATATAAGCTCATAAAGTATCTCTCTGGCTCTCCCTTACAAACAAATAAAATAAACTGTGCTTTTAAGTTCCACCTTTGAAAATTTGATTTCCGGAAACTTCTGTGATCAATGATTTTTTGAAACGTCTGGACCTTCGATCTCCGGAAACTTCAGGATCACTGTCAGCGAAAAATCCGTAAATCTGGATTTTTTCCGGAGCACAAACAGCCCTGTAGTAGTGTTGTGTGTATTTATTGTTTTATTTTTAATAAACTTATAGCAGAATGTTAACAAAGTATGTTTACCAAAGTAAAATTATAGTTTTGTGTGCTTGCTATATTTTAAAGAAATTCGCAACATAGTGGTAACGAAACTGTTGCCCAGAAGATAATATTTTATACAGATCTGCAATTTTTTTAATTTCATTATTGTTTGCAAAATGGATGCAAAGTGTCGTTTAATCATAGTTCTCGCTTTTGTGTAAATTGTTATATTTTATGAAATTTGCCACAGAGTGGTAATAAAACAGTTGCTTGGGGAATAACATTTGCTATAGATTTGTTGCTTTTTTATTTATGAAATGGATGTTTAGTGTTGTTTAATAACATAACAAATAAGTTCTGAATTTAGCAACACAATATAAATCAAAGTTGTCATTACAAATGTCTTCTAAAGTTGGTACTTTTAAAATTATATCTTAATTTTATTAAATTAGAATAAAAACTCGTACAATTTAAAATTTATCAAAAAAGAATTACAAAAGTAACAATAGGCCATAATGTATTCAACTATGAAGTCTCTTTACTTTTATCAATAAACAAAATTATTAAATTTATTAAATAAACTATATAAGCCAATGAATTAAATAAACTAAAATATAAATTTCTGTTTTAAAAAAATCTTTTTGTACATTTAATTAATGATAAAATTCAATAAAGCTATTGAAGCAATCATATATGAACATTCTGTTTCGAACCAAAAACAAATACTTTTACTGTGGTGTTTAGATTCAGGTCTTCATTGAATAAAACTTATTACAGTGGTTATGAACAATAGGTAGAATAGTTAATATATATNCGATTTATATATATATATATATATATATATATAGACAATTTTCGTTGTAAACCTACCATAACATGACAATAAAACTTGTCTAAAAATGATTTCAATAATAAAAAATTACATTACCTAGTAGTGGAATTCACACCAAAATCTCCTTCATCATCTTCAATATTTGGAAATTGCATGGTGGAATTGATGAGTAACTAGTTGAAATTCTGTAGAGAAAGAAAAGATGCATTAATAATTAGATCAGGAAAGTTAATTATGAACTATTTTTTAAATATGATTACTATAGCTATGTAAATAAATATAGTGCATAATTTTATAATTAAAATTACCAACGCAAAATATATCAGAATTAGATAATAAAATGATTAAAAGTAAAAGATATTTAAGACAAAATTTTTTTTACTTATTTTGGAAAAAAATATTTTTAACTATATTTAATGGATTGCTAATTTTAACGGTTAGGAAACTCTGCCTCATGATTGCATTGTAATCCTCCTGCTTTTCAGCATAAAAAAATTTTAGAAAACTAATTAATATATTATAATGGTAGTAAAAATGTGCAGCATAAAAATTTCTTAGTCCCTAAATCATTCTTATAAATGGTTACGTTAATTACTTCTGTTTCTAACATTGCTACAAATTTACAATGAAAACAAACAATTTAACACCATTATATGGTTTTATTAACTTTAAACTATTCTTAAACAACTTTATAAATTTTTATTCCTCTACAACAAGTCAATGACTTTTTAATTAATTGGCAACATTATAATAATTGTGATTAGCCTTTAGTTACACTAATAGAATTTTTTTTTCAATTCAGCCAATAGTTTTTTTTTTTTTCCATTATTATTATTTTCACCTAATAAATTCTATTACATACAATACCTAAAATAATTTTCTTAAAGCCACATCATCTAAATTTTCTTTGATTTTAAAAATTCGTTCAAACATAAATTTAATTGTTAGATACAAGAACATATGTATTTATATTTTAAAAAATATTTTTTTAAATTGGATAATTAATTAATGAGAGCTAATTATTTATGTTAGTTACAGAACATTTTATGACCAATTTTTAAAATCAGCATTTTTCCCCCACAAATGTGAAAATTTCAAATTATTTTCTAATCACTCTATAGTTCTTAATTCCCTGTTAATTTAGTAGCCATAATTACAACTTTTATTAAACATGGTATATATATACTATTGCTAACAACTTTTGTGACTCTTCCGGGAATTATGCATATTATTTTTCATTAATATTATAAAAATTAAGAAAAGTATGGTTACATGTTCACTCATATTTAATCTAAATAATTGCCAACTTTAAAGTGATGAATATTGTTTTTTGCCCTAACTGATAGCGGGTTTATGTGTCAGTTAACAAAGTCATCTATTGAAGAAACAATAACTAAAATCACATAGACTAGATAAAAAGAAAAACTGTAAACTTATAAACAGATAAATTTAAAGATTCGTCAAAAACTTTAAAATAAAATTAAATACTAAAAATATTACAGATTTTCATAGAAGCTATTTATTTTGATAATTTGCAAGAGCAATGAAACAAAATGAAGTATTCCTTTAAAAAGTATGTTATAGTTCGACGACACGCGTGAGCATATAATTGAATTAACTAAAATATTTAAAATTGATAAGTTATCTTTAAAATTGTTTTTTCTCCCAAGAAATAAAATATAGGTACTATTAGAAGACAAAAATGTCATGAACTATGTAATAATTTCTTATAATAATTATCTTTACTTAAAAACATTTGTTATTTTATAATTTGTAGCTAATTTATTGATTAATTAACGAGTGTGTTACAAAATCCACTACCTATTTTTAAAATATCTGCATAGTTAAATTTCTTAAATACAATTTTAAAGACAACATAAAGATGCGACTGAAAATATAACGTGTCTTATACTGAGTACTTATGAAACTTTTAAAGTATTAAACACTGAATAGCTTTTATTTAATATAATTTTAAAAAGATTAATGCGACAAAGGGGTAGAACTAAACTACAACGATGTTTGTTTTCATTTTATCTCAGGTGACAGATGAAATCGTTGCCATCTGTTTAAGAATAAATTTCACATGCGTTTGGTTTCACTTATGGATGGGGAGCCGTATAAAATAAACAGAGATGGCGCTAAAAGTTAAAATTTGTTCAAAGTCTTCCGGGTTGCTACTTCCGATTCATTTTTACGCCTGAGCCAGAAAAAATGCACCATCCAATATTATTATACTTGTAGTGCTTATAATATAACGAGGTCTTTCAATTTAACTGCAAGCGAATTTGGACAAACAAAGGAACTGAACGTTGGGCGACTACAAACGAATTCGAATTACTCCACAAACATGTTATGAAGCTACCCAAAAAATAACAAACGGCGAAATTTTACACAAATATAGCCAAATAGCAGATAACAATAAAAACATGGCCAGCCTTACTCTTTATTAATTTTGGGATATTAATTTTCTCAAATATATTTACGATTCACAACCTTTTAGAGTTTAAAAATTTGAGAAAATTCTTATGAATGGTAAGATTACGCATAAATTTAAACACAAATCACAATAAAACTTCTTAGAATATCAAGCTTGTTCAAACATCTCCTCGTACGGATAACATAAGTGGGGGAAGGTCAGGGAATTAGCCGAGAAATAACCAGGAAAGCAAAACAACGAAAAATAAAAGCAACAGAAAAAACACTGAGAAAGAAACATTGCAACGCGAAATTGTACCTTAATTAAATAGCATTAATTCATTTAGCATTTCTTAAATTAATTTAATATTTTAAAATTAATAATTTTACAAGTGTTATTTTGACGTTTGCAGAACGGAACTCTTCACATTTCATACGTTTTAATACTTTTATTTCAAACTTTTATAAGAGCTTTAAAAATTTTCTAATGCCGAAAATTACACTTATCGTATTGTCATATGATAGTAAGATAAAAAAAAAATTCTAGATTTTTTAGACGAGTAATTTTTTAAAAAGTATTATAATAAGATGTTTATTATTTTGTAGTTATTTTAACTTACCTTAAAATTATCGCCCTAAGAGAGGATTGCTGATGAATGCAGGATACATGATAATATACTAGGAGATATATAATTAAAAACTATAAAATTTTAAAATTTTCTTTCTGCGTACTTCCAAGTAATCCATGTATATAAATAATTTTTTTAAAAATATCTAGTTACATTTGAATAAATATTTAATGGCATTAAATTTAGATTCAATGGTCTGAATGGAGTAGGTAGTTAAATTGAAATAATTTTTGAAGAAAATAACATATCGCCACCATTTTGTACGTCAGGTTTGCAAAGTGTTTCAAAAGAAACCTTTTATTTTAGTGTTTTATTTTTATATGTTTCTTTTTCAGAATGTAAATTTTGTCTCCTGAATATGTTAATTTTGTCTAAAATTTAGCAAAATATTAATGTAATAGATGCAATGTAATAGAGATCGCAGATTATCGAAATTGCCATGGTACGTCTTCGAATCATCCTCAGGGATGTTTCCCAGACCGTCGCCAATAGCCCATTGTGCAGCTCTAGTGTGATGTAAATAAAGTACCTACTTGTAAATTAAAGACATGCAAAAAAAAAAAAAAAATCTTTTTCCCTTCATTTTACTAACATATTTATTCAACCGAACCCAAAATAAGCATTCTTTGTTCATTCAAAGATCAATTTTTCCACTAAAGTCTGCCTCATAGAATTAAAATTGTTGTAAGTTCCAAACCATTTTATTTGTTTTTCTTTATTGATTTTCCTAAATTTATAATTTTTTTCTATCTAAGAATGATGCGAATGATGAAATAAAATTTTATGTAGAATTTAAACGACTTTCTTAGTTTTTATATTAGAAATAAGTATACTAGACATGAATAATATTTTAATTTTCATTATCATTTTTATTTCTAAATCTCATTTCAGTCAGACTATAATTTTCGTGGTTTTCCTTTGCATGTATCATTTATATTCATTATGAACATGAAGCTAAATTTTTCTATGTTCCGACGCTCTTATTATGAAAGGAATATTTACATTACAATTAGGCGGCCTTGTGACCTCCCAAATTTAATCAATACTTTTACACCTTGGCGTGGTGCATATATATATATATATATATATATTATAATAACGAATGCAACGAAATTTGAAAATTATAGGTTTATTTGGAGAAAACATGCCTTCATGTACATATATGCAGCCCTCACAAGTAATGCTTCGAAATTTTTCAAACTTCTGCCGCTTTCGATATATGCAAAGGAAATATTAAGGTTAAAATGAGCTCAGCTTGTGCCTCGCTAATTCAACGACAATTTTGAGACTTTGCGTGTTGTTTCGATTTATTGAATATCCGTGACCAAGTTTGAAAATTGTTGATTATCATTTAGGAAAAATATAGGCCATTATGTAACAGCAGAACATGAGAGAAAAACTAGAAAATTTCTAAGCTCAGTTCGCTACATTGTAAACAGAATGACGCTAAATTTAAGCTCTCTTTTTCCCCTCCTTAATTTGTCTATAAATTTCTAGCTTGGCGTGATACATAGGTTTAATGAGAAAATATACGAAATAATTAGTTTGAAAATTATAGGTTAATATTTAGGGAAAATATAAACCATTATGTAACAACAAAACATGAGAGAAAAACTAGAAAACCAAGTTCAGACGCTGCATTATGAAGGGAGTGGCGGTAAATTTAGGCCCGTTTTGCTCTCTCCCTAATTCGTCTATAAGTTTGCTACTTGATGAGGTGTGTAGGTGTATTGTTATACTAAATTTGGCCCAATTTGAAAATTATATGTGATTATTAAGGAAGTACATGTACAATATGCATGCATATCTTCATATAGATTCAGAGAACACGGCTAAGGGATTCTAACCCATTCTCTGTAGATTCACTCTCTGACGGCACCATTATCTGTAGATACAGCGTAGCTTAGTTACGATAAATCTACACAAAAAGTGTCTGAATTTCAAAGCTGCAACGAATCTTTAAAAATAGAACTTAAAAAATATTATAATTTTTTTTTTTTTTTTTGTATAAAGTTAGCACTTTGTAATACTGTTGAAGCCAGTTTAGAAATTCCAGACACAGTCCAGAACATTTTTCCAGAAACTGTGCAGATAAAATATTTTGCAAGTTACGCTAAATCTCTTAGAGTAGATCTAACAGAGGAAACGTTTCCATATTTGCTAAGAAAATGGTAGGCCAATGAGTAACGTTTTAATGTATCAGTATGATAGATCAGGGGACATTTGTCTCAACAATTAGTTAGAAGTATTGAAAAGATACTTCACAACTCACTGATACTAGTAAATCTAGAACTAATAGTAACATAAGGACATAATGTTTGATCAACTAGTCTTATGTTTTAGTGACATATGAGTAGTGAATTGGCCCGAAGAACTGGTAACTCTAAGATTTATCTTGGGTCTCTTGATCATTGTACACGACCTAGTACCACGCAGCCTATGACTCACTTGTGGGCCGCGGGCTATGGGATGAGAACTGCTACACTATTTACATTCATTATCAAGTTAATCATAGGTTACAGAGTGGGTGTTGGTTTGTATTATCTTTGACTTTCCTGAAAGAGATTTTTTCAGAATCCATGGGAAATCTAACTTTTTGTTTCCCGAATCTTTGTGCCACCAGACTACATCTTTCCTTTCCTTCTTTCCGTTATATTTAATTTGATAAACTGACTGACTCAGTTTAAAAAAAAAAATGAACAAAAAAACACATAGATAAAATTTTTTATTATTTTTTTATTGAAACAACAACAAATGACAACAAAAACAATGTAGAAAAGTAAAAATCAACTTTATCAAAAAGTAAAATGTCACATTCATTATTCAAATAAAAGCAATCGAAAAGGATGTCAGATTTCAAATTTTATTGAAACAATTGGATAATTTGTTATGATTATTCTCGATAGTTCATGCCATTTCTATATAATGTTAATTACATTTCTCTCCAAAACTGACAATACGAAGATAAATTATGCAAACAAGACACAGTTGCCTGCTCGAAAAATGAACAGACAAATATTTACCTTATGAGTATCTTTATATATGATTAGTTTCATTTAGAAACTCAATTTATAATATGAAAACTTGACAATTACAGAAAGTTTCATGAAATTTTTTTATTTTTCTTCTTCACTATATATTCACATCCGATTCATTTAATATTTTTACTCACTTTATATTCTATTTTTTAATACTCGAAACATTATATTTTAATAAAATAAAGCATATTTTGTCAAGTTTTGTGTTACATATTATTATATACATATCTCCTACCGCTAAAGTGCAGAAAACAGTTATTCTGTGGATTATAAAGGTAACGCTAAAGCTACGGAAATTGTTTCATTTCTCAAATTACCTAAATAATTTGCACATTATCCACTAGGTACAATTTACCTGGATAATCTACCACATTATCCACTGATCACTCGTTAAAGTGAAAATCGGCATTCTCCCCCCCCCCCCCCCCNCCCCCCCCCCCCCCCGTTTTAATATTTATTAGAGATCTCCTCTATAATCATAATATTTTTTTTTGTCTTTTTGACAAAACTTTTAACACGTTGAATGCCATGGGGGTCACCGGTCACTGGCACTGAGTTTATTCGTAGTGCCACGGTGGTCACTGGTGAACCCAAGATTATTAGAAACACATAATTCAAGTAAATTTTTAATGTTTTTTATTTTTTAATATTATTATCGTTACTGAAATGGTTTGAAGAAATTAATGCGATACATACTAAGAAAATCATTTTGGCCAGACGGGCAAAGCCATGTAAAATTAGCGTGGCATTCAACGTGTTAAAAACATACATTAAGGATGGATATTGTGACACACATAACAAATTTTAAATGGATTATATAAAGAGAGGTTTACTGATATGCTCCTATATTAGAGAGCAAATCCTAAGCTTGTATTCTTCTTGAATCAACATATCGATGTCATATGGCTCTGTTCTCAGAAAATATGATGGAAAAACCATCATGTTTCATTATGAGAATGTTTTTTTTTTGTTTTTGTAATTTCTTTTGTTTTCGTAGTGGAATAATAGGCTGAGCGACATTCTGAAAATTCTCAAATTTTCCAGTATGAAGATATATTACAGTTGATTGAATAACAGGGTATTATTTAAAGACCGTCTTTATTACAATTTTTGAATCCTTATCAAAAATGAAAACAAAAAAGTTCGAACCTGGGGTTCGAATGTTTATACGTAAGCAAGAAAAAAATAAAAACGCTATCAAAATCTGATAAATCGCATGGCAGAAGAGCGGATGTAATCAACATAATCAGATTTGATTGGAGGTAAAAACTTGAAGGTGTTCCTAATGATTGTCTGGCAACTCCTCTTTATTTTCTACCGCAATCAAGCTTGTTATGTAGTTTATTACATGCGCATTCCTGTACTGCGATTTGTCATATTTCGAATGTTTTTTTTCCGGATTTAAATCTTATACGACACCTAATGTATATACTTTTTTGTTTTCATTTTCTGATAAGGATTCTAAAAATTTTTTTAACTGGTAAACATTGGTAACTAACATTGGTTTAGAAGGGACGGTATACACTGTATATACAATTAAATAATTCTGACATGTTTTTCAAAAGAAGGTTTTTACATACAAAATAGATACTTGATGGTAAACAGATACCTGGTTTACCTAAAGTTACTGAAATTTCGCTTTAAATTTTCTACCAAGCTTTTCCTTACGAGAAACGATTATAGTTGATCTAAAAAGCTTATTAAATTCTTTTTTAAAAAAAATATTTTATAAGTTTTTAAAACCTACGAATTTTAAATTGCATTTTTAATATATATATATTCCTACAAAATAAAGAAAAAAGTATGAAAAATATTTCAAACAAAATTTCTGCCTCGAAGGATTAAAAGATAAGGAATTCGCTTTATTTTTAGTCAATTTAAACTTCGCTTTTGATTCTGAGAAGTAATTTGAAGTCTTCAGTTTTTCCTCTTAAAGCATATATTTTTCCTTAAATTATTCCTTCCAGAACAGTAATTAAGGTAAAATATATCCTTGTTTTAAAGAACATTATACTGTTAAAAAAGAAACATTATACTTTCTTCACAATTAAAATATTGCTTGATTTAAGTGCATCTAATAATCAATTCAAACTGTTTAAGTTCTTTTCGTTTTTCAGTTTCTTATTTACCTTCCAAACAACTCACGAAGTCTTCTAGCATCCAAGTTATTGTAGTATCCTTGACTGAAATACATGAAAAAACAAATTAGTTTAAAAATTAAGTAATTACAATTTGGTTGTATTATAATAATACAAAATTTTTATTAATTGTAATCACTTTAAAGGACCTTTTTTGGTTCATAGGGTGAGTATGGGTCATTTGGTCATAGTGGTGAAATGTAGCTAGTATCTTCACTATTATGCGATGTTTAATGCTAAATTAAATATAAATTTCAAATTTCTATATTTTGCTTGTAACGATATTTGATACTTGATAATGATCCTTGTTTGTAACTATGCGTGAGGTATTATGCGAACAAGAATTAATGTATCCATATACTGAGAAAAAAAGTATGGCCAAAATTACCTGAATATAGTAAAATTTACAGTGTTTCAGGTTTTATGGAAGCATCAAATTCTCGGTAATTCTTATCAAAGCATTTTGGTAATGATTTTGGTGAAATTAACGATAAAATAGGTTTTTTTAGAGGTTCTTTTACCACATGTTTGATAGTAAATGCGATAAAATTTGGTAATTTTATCATGATATAATAGAGTAGTTGTTTCCAAATGATGTACCGCGGAACCCTATAGTGGAAGAGTTAAATGAGCTCCATGTTTTATTACTTTTTAAAACCAGTGATGGGTTTTGAATTCATTATTTATTTAATCCTTCAGTTGCCTTTATGAAATTATTTCAAGTAAAGGAAATTATTTCAAGAAATAGAAAAAAAAATTTTTTTAAGGAAAATATATTTCCAAGAACAATATATTGAACAGATTATAAAAGGAATATATTAATTTATAAAATTTTGAATTGATATTTCCTATCTCGCTTTTCAAATTAAAATATAATAATTAAATTCTTTAATGAAAAAAAAAATGTTTTCTTAATAACCATTTTCAACGTTTATATTAGTTCTTTCAAGTTTTGGTAGGGCGTCAAACTAAATACTAACACCTGCCCAACTATAGTTTGTCTAAAATAGGAACTCCCCCAGACATTCGTCTGGACCTGTGGCGGTGACTATGGTAACGAGGTATAACTATTTCAAATAGGGGTGCAGGGTCACTGTTTTGGAGTGGTTTCGGCTTGGGTCTCATGGTCTATTGTGTTAGTTCTAGAGTGAAGCTACCCTCACTAAAATGCACCATTCCTGTTTCCATAGCACCAGATGACTTCAAACTTTGTGGCGGGAGAAGTTCTTAGCTTAGACAAAATATAAATATTAATCCGGCCCAAGTAAATACTAACACCTACATACATATGGTGCACTGCTTCCGACAAGAACAAATAGTAATAAACGAGTCAAAAGAACAGGACTGCCAAAAAAGATAGTTTTTAACAACATATCTATAAATAACTGAAGTGAATTTTCTCTTCAAACTCTTCAGAATTATACTTAATATCATACGATATCAGCAGGTTTGAGTAGAGAAATTTTTTCATTTATTCCACTTATAGAAAATATTGCCTCACACAACAAGCTGTAGTAGTGAAGGTAAGGAACTCAAGATTTGTTTTTGTTTACATTTATATTGAAAACGCCATAAATGTACGAAATAACATCAGTTGACTGAAAGTTCAGGAGAGACTACTAAGAACATATGTGCGCATGTATATATATCTATATATACATACACACGCACATACACATACTGTAAATCAGTGTTCCCCAACCTTTTTATCACCCCGGACCTGTCAACGTTTGATAATTTTACCACGGCCCGCTGGGGGTAGGGGCGTTGATTGTTTATATTATAGATCATTTTGATTTTTTAATTTTAATTTAATTGTATTTAAACACGCGTTCAAAACAAAATACAGTTACACCAAAAAATAAATATAAAGTGATTTAGCATTTTAACTTACTAGAACGTTAAATCAATGAGAACCCTAAGCTTGTTTCTTTGCAATGAGACGGTTACATCTGGGGGTAATCGGAGACAATGATACATTACAAAAATTTATGTCACTATCTTCGGGGGCCCCTTTTTTTTAAATAAATTTTTTTTAATGGAACACAGATATTTTTAATTTGGGGTGTAAATTCAGTTTCAATGAAATGGGCGATCCAGTACCATTTGATCCACGGACCGGTACCGGTCCGCGGACCGGGGGTTGGGGAACACTGCTGTAAATGACCAAAATTGGTGGTTGTTGACTTCCACCAGTGAATGTTGGCGTTGGTAAATGTCCGAAATATATACTAGGACCAGTTAAGTGCCACTGCCCGGTATACATTTGCCCATTATGCCCTATAACTACATCAATGTTTTTTAAGGTCAAGTGCCCCTGCCTAGTAGGCATTTAACCAGTTCTCCGAATACTAATGTTAGTCCTAATCTATCTTCAGCAGATATTAAGATATCGAATAAATACAATAATGTCAACGAATATCTTAATCTACTCAATCAAACACAATCCAAAATGATACTCATTTAATTAAAATGAAAACTTTAAAAAAATATGACCGAAAATATTACATTTAAAGTCACAAGTTGCAAAATTTATTAAAAACTAGCCGCATTAGGCGGCCAGCTGTCCGCCACGCTAAAGGTTTTCACAAATAAAGTTTTTTAAAACATAGCAGGAAATCTGAAGATTAGTGGACAATTGGGTATACTATAGCCTACGTCACAGATCGTGTTATTCCTACTAAATTTAACTAGTAAATTACTAACTAGTAAATTCCTACTAAATTTAACTAGTAAACAGCATTTTCTGCGAACCTGATTTCTAGCAACAAGTAAAAGCATCAAACGAAGTGTCTTGTTATAAGTCGCTACTCGCCAAGTTGGAATTGTATTAGTCTAGTTTCTTTGGAAATAATTTATATTGTTGTTTTACCGAAGTTTATGAATTTAGTAAGCATATTTAAAACTCAGTTTATTAATTAAACTAAAAGGTAAATGTTATTATTAGTAAGTGGAAGTAGTTGTGCTTTTTTCATATTATACCCAATTAAAGTGTTCCTGTCCTGCAATTTTGTCTTCATATCCAGTTCTGCTGCAGACTAAAGTTAAACTTTTCTCCACTTTGATAAATGTAAACTAATGCGAACCTTACAATTAAATTATTAATTCCTTCGTATATTATTGGTTTAATTTGTCGAAAATTAATATTTCAATTGTAAGGTTCGCATTAGCATACATTTATAATAGTGGAGAAAAGTATATGCATTTTTTAATAGTTTTTTGAATATGACTCTTTGAAGACGAAAAAGCATAGATTTTCTTACAAAATGACTGATAACTAAAAAACTAATCCAAATTTTTGAAAAAGAAAAAGAATACTTCTTCATTATGTCAAAACACAATTATGTGCCGAGTTTCGTGCCTGGGCGAGGCTTCTGGGGCGATATATTGTGATTACAGATAGACAGACAAACAAACACACACACAGCCGCGTTTATTATTATGTATAGATATTGTTCTAATAATTTTAACTCTCCATGGTTTTCGTTTATAATAAATTTCAATTTTATCCCAAAGAATTGCTCTCGTTATATTAGTAAACATGAAACACTCCAGGTACAGTTACCGAAAATGACCACAAAGAAAGAAAAGAAAAACCTTTCCTTCGGAAAAATTTTTAAAAATGGATTGCCTTTTTTCTATATTAAAAACCTCATATAATATTTATTACAGAACAAAATAAATAAAGAAATCTTACCATCCTGAGACACTCTCTGCATCATCGCAGGATCCAGTTTTTGGATTGAATACAAGCCCCGGATCACAAGCTAGCAATCGGGGAGCCCTTGATCCATCAGGAGTCAGAATGCAAATGTAGAATTTCCTGCAATCACCAGCATAAGGATATCGAGGATCTTCGAATTCCTGTAAATCTCTCTCTGTTGGCTGTGGGCATTGGAAACGAAGCAGAGCTGCAATTTATACGCCATTTTAATATTTACCTTGTTAAGGAGCATTATACTGGATAGGTCAAATAAAATCAGACCAAAGAAGAAACAGTTTCAATAAACTTAAAATCAACGGCTATGTTAAAAAGAGAAAATAAATTGTAAGAAAAAAGGGTCAATTTATCTGAGGGATTATCAGATGAGTGTGGTAATCATGAATCTGCCGCAATCAATGGCATTATTTTCGGCACTGAATGATAATCTTTATATGCTTAGTTGATCGTTATTTTGTTGAGTAGAACTTCTGAAACTGCGTTTTTCTTAATCTAACAATGTAAAGTGACCGTAACGAGCAACAAATAATGATAAAAGATTGGAGTTATTTTAACTATTTCAATTGGGGGGGGTCGTAAAAGCAGCCATGTAACCTTTACGTAATATTGATTAATGCTGATTCATTGATTATTTACTTTTTTTAAACTTCGTTTAAAGAATGAACACTTAGTTAGTACTTATACACACAGGGTGATCTGTAACCACCACCCTTGATATATATTTCAATAAACTTTATCAAAAAAGATATTAAGAGAGGAAAAATTTACTGAAACCCGAAAAATCATTAATAAGGAAAAAGTGAGATTAAAAAGAAAAGCAGATTGATTGCTGTTGGAAGGAAAAGTGTACCGACTATCCTCATGTTTCAATAATTTCATGGGTCAATCAAATTGATTTTAATGTTTTTAATCCTGTTTTCCTCTAGCTGTGAATAGTGAATTTTGGTATGATGAAAAATTCCTTATTTCTTCCTCACTTTGATATTTATTTACNCATATCTGCCTTTATAGGGATATAGATTTTTTGAGCTTTAAACCATAAAATCTGCAAAAAGAATTTAGGAAGAGTTTCTGTGCAGCAAAAAAAACATATAACGATCTCATTATCAAGTTGCCGATTTTTTTTCCTTCATACTTTACTCTTTTATAAATCTGATTTTCGCCTAAAAGAATGAGTGAATCTGATTTTCGCTTCATGCGTGAATAAAGTTCATTTTATTCAAGTTAAAATTCTATGAGCTGTTTAGTTTATACAGCTGATTAGTTCTTTCATTGTTTTAACAATATCTTCATATCAATTCGGAAAAGTAAAATACACAATATACACCGAAGAGCCATTGCAGTATGATCACCCTGCTAATAACAGGTAGGACCATCTTCAGCCCTCAAAACTGCTAGCACCCACCGTGGCATTGATTCCACAAGGNTTTAGCCCTCAAAACTGCTAGCACCCGCCGTGGCATTGATTCCACAAGGTGCTGATAGGTAATTTGATGTATCTGGTACCAAGCGCTCACCAACCGGTCCTGCAATTCCCTCACATTGTGAGGGGGTAGCGTGGCAGCACGAATTTGGATTTCCAAGTAGAACCACAAATGCTCTATTGGATTACGATCAGGTGAATTTGGGGACCAAGACATGACTTGAAAGTCACTGGAATGTTCCTCGAACCAATCCATGACGGTTCGACCCTTATGACCTGGTGCATTATCCTGTTGGTAAACACCATCCCCCGCAGGAAATGGTGAACCTGGTGTGCCATGAATAGGTGAATCTGGTCTGCAACTATGTTCAAGTAGCTTACAGACGTCAGGGATAGTTCTATGAGGATTATGGGTCCTAATGTGCCCCATGAAAACATTGCTCCTGGGCGAGAAACCATGAAAACCTGGGCGAGCCCATTGTTATAGATGGAGGGTGGTCATAATGTAATGGCTCTTCGGTGTATATACATATATACGCGATATTAACCTCATAAAAAGAGATACTCACACTCAGAGTCACAGTTTTCCACTTGATCTGGCCAGTCACAGTGAGCGCTGTATTCGTTATAAGCTAGTCCCTCTGGACAATAAAATGAGAATGCGTGTCCCTCAACGCATTGCCAGAAACGGCTGCAGTCTGTTTCGTGTGAGTAAAGACCATACAATCGGGGACAATGCTCCGTTGATACGGGAGGCTCTACAAATAATAATAACAAATTATTAATATGTAGTAACAGTTCACGCTACAGGGTGTAGTAAATTAGATTGATAGTTTATAAGTATTTATAACAAGGAAGCGGTTTAGTTTAAGAAGAAGAAAAAACACCTTGGCGAATTCATGTGATGGGGCATAAATTTTTTCTCTCAATGTTCCTGCATTTTACTCAAACTTTTTTCGGCCGATGGCGCTTCAAGCAGTAAAAACAAAGAAAAGCTAAGTGAAAACTTTTTTTGAACGATGTTTTCGAAAAACGATAAAACGATGTTTTCGAAATGTCCACGGTGAGCTATAATCTTATGTCGCAATTATCGGAAAGCATACAAATTGAACCAAAAACTGCTGTGAAAAAATATGTGCCTCGTCATGTAAATTTCATGCAAGAATTGTTTTTCTTTTTTAACCTTAATTGTTATAAATTTTTGAAAACTGTCAATATAATTAGGACTTTAGACCCTCTAAAAATGTACGATATTTATATAGTAGGTAATAAAACTGCAAGAAACAACAATAATTGAATTTGAGAAATTTAATTAGAACAACAATACTTAATTGATACAACAATAATTTCATTAGGGAAATCTAAGGAAAGGTTGAAAAATTGTTTGCTCCCATTTTGTAACTTTTCTCGTTTATTTTCTGTAATCAAATCTACTTATTTTTATCCTTAACTAAAATTTATTAGAAAAAAAAAGAAAAAAGACCAAAGCACCGGATAGTACGAAAGAGCGTCGACAGATTTTTTAAAATTTATTGAATTTCATAAAATATCCTTGTACTTAGTGGATACTTATAAAAATTCTGTGACATTAATATATATATATATATGTTTATTTTTAGAATGCATAGATCTGTGCCGTTGATTTTGATGTTTATTAACGAAATGAGACCGAATACACATTATGCATGCACTGTTGATGATACAGAGAATTCCTAAAAAAAATTGCGTGTTTTGTTTGTTAATTTTTTTGCATTGCATAAACACTGATAAATCTAGCATTTCTTAAGAAAATAATAAGTATTTGCTTTACATGAAACTTTTATTTGACGTAAGAGGAAGATGAAATCAGAATTGTTTGTTGTAATTGTAGTTGTGGCTCATTTCGTTGCACTAGAGCTGCACAATGGGCTATTGGCGACTGTCTAGGAAACATCCCTGAGGTTGATCCAAAGAAATGCCATCACAATTTTGATCCTCTGCAGAGGGGATGGCACCCCCTCTTCGGTAGCCCGACTACATACAGGCGAAGTCTAGCACTTTGCGGTAGAACAGTTTAACGAGGACCAATACCTCACACCCTTGGTCCCTACACAGACTGATCCAAGTGGTCACCCACCCGCACACTGACCGCAGTCAGTGATGCTTGACATTGGTGATGCTGGGAACTGAGTCTTAACAATCAGTCCATTGCGGGACCAGAATTGCTTGACTTTTAATAGCGAGCGAGCAACTTAATCAAGTCAGTTTCAGTAATTTTCTTAACAACTTCGGTTGTTTACATAATGAATTTTTAAAGAATGAATGCCAAAAGTAAAAATGTAAAAGAAGCAGCCTTCTTCTTTAAAGAAATTGACTCTTTTTAATTATACGAGGGTTGTTTTTTTAAGTAAGGACCGTTTGAAAATAAAAATCAAACGAAGGAAAATTTTCATGAATCAAATTTATTTTCAGATTCTAGATACATTTTTTTCAGCTCTGAATTTATTTATTTTAGTTTATTTTCTGACCACCCATTAGGAATAAATGTTTCCTTGAAAAAATTTTGTAAATGGCTGTGCGTTGAAGGTAGAAGAATCTAAATATGCACCGTCAAATTCAAACGGCGACAAGACGCGTCACAAATGTCAAATGTCACAATGGTCTTAATAAAACAAAAAGATGGGAATTCCCTTCGGATTCTCTTGAAAAGTCATTAGGTACCAAAAGTGAAACTTCTAGATTTGAAAAACACATTCAAATCACGTTCTATATTCTCCATAAGGATAAAATAAACAGAACAGGTAACGTTCGTTTGGGGATTCTTCCAAGCAATCACTCAAAGGTTTACCTTGCCGATGGCCGAATTTAAATCATGTGCTCGCGCATCCTTCTTTATCTTGATGAAGTACCAGACAGCACAATGTTGCATTAATGATCTAAATGGAGGTCTAGAGTGAAGAATGAAAGTTTTATTTTAAACCTTTAATTACGTTGTCTTGTCGTTACGTCAGTAGAAATCAGCCTTTGATACAAACTGCCAAATTATTGATGGTTGTTGATTGCTCGTATGAAATGAACAATCAACGCTATGAAATGATCAATCACTATGAAATGATCAATCCCTATGAAATGATCATAAGTGAATGTGATTGGGGTAGGAATTAAAAGATCTGAAGTTTTAGAATTTTTCGTTTCTCAATTTACAGTTTAAAGAGTGCAGAATATCATCCGACGATGCTCAAAAGCTTTTTGGAATGCATTTCCTCGCAAATCCTTTGCGGTTTTCAAAATTGAGAGAAAATATTATTGTTTCGGTCACACAGGCTTATTTTTCTCTCTCCCTACTTATAGATTAAATAATTTTTTATTCAGCTTTACCAGCATTTATTTAAATTTCCAAATCAATTTTTATTTGATACGAATTAAAAATATTATTATTTCATGTTTTGTGGAATTTTATAAAACTAAACATAATTTCTCATTAGGTAATTTTTTATTTACATGTCAATATAACAGAGCAAAAAAGCTGAAAATAAAATAATTTTTTTCTTTTTTTAAATGTGTATGGTACTATAACTCAGTATGTATGGAAATAATGTCTAAAGATCTTATGTAGAGCCTGATTTACTAACCCTTTGACGCAGAATTTTTCTTAAACATATTTTTCATACTTTTTCATTATTTTGTATTAATTTAGATCAAAGTAAGTGAAAAATATTATATTTAGTATTTTGATAATAGATGATTATGAAATACAGCATGAAATACTAATGTCTTGTTCTGCGTAAAAGGTAAAATCTTTCAAACACGGCTCAGTTCAAAACAATAATTTTTCAAATTTGCATTTATTTGCAGTTATTTTAGATCTAAGAGAAACAGTTACTCATCGTTGAAATTTCTTTAATTTACAAAATCAATTATTGATAAATGTTTGAATATGAATGGAAAAAAAAACTTTTTTTTCCAACTACTATTTTTCAATTTTATATTTTAGTACAAATATAATTCCTATAATCTGACAGATTCTAATTCTAATTATTCTAATCTTTAGTAACTATTAGACTGCTCTTTTATAATTTAAAAATATTAAAATGAATTTTTGCTTGTAGTTAGAGCGTCAGAAAAGGAAATATATATCCCATCTGCGTCAAAGGACCTTAGAGGACCCTTAAAAACCATTTTCTTTCCATCTGAAGAATTGCTTTCTAAAATTCTGAATTACGAAAGTTGTCCTCACACACCACAATTCTCTTACGTTATGTACACATATGATTAAAAATATTTTGTACACTGGTATTTGGTACAAGATTACGTACAGTGTTACGTACAGGCTGTTCCGTGCCTAACTCCCCCGGATCTCTAAATCGAGCCCTGAAAGGAACATATCAGGGAAACAAAATCAATTCAAAATCAAGTTAAATTATAAAATTTTAGTTATTTGTCCGTTCTAAAGCCTAGATAAGTCTTTATGGTAAGATTATAAATATAGTTTAAAATCATCACTTTGCTTCGAGTATAAGGTACTTAAACAGTAGCGTTTTTATTTTCCCTGGCGACAGAGCTTCGGAAAACCTTATTAGCAATCACGATCGGAGCATCCTATAATCTTGATTCTGGTGATAAGAGATGTATCATGGTTGTTGTCCGAAATGGCAACGCTTTTAAGTTACGTAGCACATATTGACTTACAGTCATGGCGGATATAACTTGTACTGTACCTTTCTGCGCACGTGACTCGATGTCAGGAGTGAGGAATGGAATGTTCCAACCCAGCTTTCATCTAGAAATTTAAAATATTCTTCTACCAACTGAGGCACCAGGATACCTTATTTGTTACATCATGCTATTGTTTTGATGATTAAAGCATAAACATTTGTTGGTTCCCATCACCATAATTTGATTGATAGAAAGGAAAATAATGCAACTTACGTAAGGCGGACCTGTAGCTGCAATCAATTTCGAAGGGTAGGTCGCATCGCAAGACGTCCGAACCCTGCCTGTCATCGAACACCAGGCCATCCGGACAGATGCCCTCCCTCAGAGTACCATTTTCGCATTTGTAGTACATGTCGCAGTTACGTTCGTGCGCATAGTACAAATTGGAAGTGCCTGATGTGCACTGACGCTGAGAAGCACCTGCAAAATATTTTTTTAACCCTTGTTATCTTTATACTAAAATTTATAAAATTATCAAACTCCAATTTGGTGCTTCATTCAGATAGTTACTAGTAAAGTTTTTGAAAACCACAACGAAGCTGGATAGACAGAATAGTGTATAAAGATCACCACATTTTTCAAAGGTTTCATATCAGAATGCTTGAAAATTAAATAATTTTCAGAGATGTCCATACTGATGTCCCTTAAACGTCAACTTACCTGCACTAGTGCATTAATTGATCAATTGGTTGCCAATAACAAACAAAGGTGATTAATGTCTCCATTGACAAGCAGAAATAGAAATAATTAGTAAATCGTTGAAGGGCTTTTGGTGAATCGTTACTTTGGTGAATAATTAGTGAATCGTTACTTTTTTACATTGCATAAAAGAAACTCATTTTCACTCAAGATATGGGAAATTAAGACGATTTTATAGTTTAGCCAGGAAAGTAATCTAAGGTTTGATCCCCTTTTACTTTTTGCGCATTTTTCTTCGAAAATTATTTACGTGACTCAAAAAATTTTTGCATTCATCTGCAAAATTATTTTTACCTAATCATGTAAGCGATAAAATTTAATAACTGTTTATTATTTTTTATTATTTGATTAAATAATGTTAAAAAAAATTTGAATTGTAAGGTTTACAATTTTTTACAACCTGAACAATATCATTTTAATTGATAAAATCTAAAATTGTAAGAATTTTTTCTAAGCAAAAATTTTTTTTAAGAAAGTCGTAGATATTTTAAAATTTATATTTCTCAAGAAACAATTTGATCGATTTATTACAACTTTCGGATTTTGTCAGTTAAAATTAGACTTATTTTGACATTGTAAAAACTTTCATGCGTTTTATTTCATAATCTTTTCATTTCATAAACGAATTTTGTGATTGTTTGTATAAAGTGTTTGATTCGCATTAAAAGTTTCAGAGGTATAGCAAAAAGTAAATTTAAAATTAAGGGGTTTCAACCATTATCATGGAAAAACTATCGGGACCATATTTTTAGAATTATGATTGTTTATCTAGGTAAAAATATGCTTTGGAGTCTTAATTCAAAACTTCTTATTTCAGGAGGATTCAGAGATATTTCTCAAAAATTTGTTGGTAGAAAACATGATAACAAGCAAGAATCATTTAAAGCTATATGATCGCAAACGCAATGCAGATTCACTATATGCGTAGAAGGGGTCACAAGCAGAAATAATTTATTACACAAAGTCGCGATTGCACATGATTATTATTAAAAACTAAATTTCAAATTAATAATTCAAAGTTACGAATGCCAACAACTACAAATTTTTGGTGTATCGGAAATAACTCCATTTGCAGAATCAATTTATGCCAGCAACTCTAGTGTTTTCATGTAATTCCACAGAAGATCAATAGGGGATAGATCTGGTGAATAAAATGGCCACGGGATGAATACAGAAATGAGTTGTGATAGATTCTTTACGTATGATATTATTCTTGCCAATTATCACGTTCCTGACTGCACAAACATTTCTGAATAATAGCTCTGAATTATCCTATAAATCCCCTGCAGTATTACAGGAAATGGAAATAACTACTACCACATGCTTATAATATTACATCAATATCAATTAAATATGTCTTCCTATTTTTCGAGTTGAATAAAATAAAGGGCATTCTTATCAAGTTAAAAACAATAAATATCTGATTAATTAAGATTATTTCTAAATTTTTTAATTTTACTTTATTTTATTTTTTGTGAGCTATTATTAAAAAAAATAGAGCATGACGATTGAGAAAGTATTAATTCTTTCGTGTATATCAGTGCGTCTTAAAATGATAATAAATAAACCGAGCGATTATTAGTAAAAGAGCTGAATTGATCAAAAGTCTCATTAGATTATTTCGCTTCAAAATAAAAACTTGTACAATTTCATTGAAACATGAGCAAATATTCGAGTAAAACTTAAAATTTTATTTAACGTGCATAAATTATGTGTTGATAAGCTTTATTTTATGGGTGTAAAAATTTTATTTAATGTATGCTATCAGAAAAGTTGCAAATCGGTCTTGATATAAAATACTTTAAATCGACCGGGAAAACATAAAAAACTTTTTATTTTGTACTTATCGTATGACTATGTTTTAACAATATTAATTGAACTTAATTTCTTAGTGCAGCAAGTAGGTTCATATTTTAATTTGCTTTCTTTAATAAGTATTAATGTTTTTTCATGTTATTTTTTTTTTAATTTTCAAATAATTTTTTTATGAAATTCGTGTTTTATTATAAAAGTGATTTATTGAATAAATAAAGTTTAATTTTTCTTATGTTGTCAACTCAGTGATATTTCTTGAAAGAAAAAGAAATCGGAGAAAAAATATTTCACATTTTCTATGTTAGGTTTTCTCATAGATAAGTTAGTGATAGTCATATTTTATACTTTACCTAAAGAGTATTAGTCATTGCATACACTGCCTAAGTAAAGTAAATAATTATCATACTTCTAATTTTGCCAGTGAACATTATATAAATGAATATTCAATGAATTACATACGTAATTGATACGGAATTGTTATAAAAATTATTATCTAGATAAGGTCTTAAAATTAAAGTTAAAAATCGAATCACAGTATAATGTTATAACTTTCATCAAAAGAAACTTAGATTATATATTTATCCTTTAAAAGAAGATTTTTAAATAAAAACGTAAATTATAATAGATTCGTATGCGTGCGATTTACTGCTGCAAAAATTACTGTTTATTAAATTACTTGAAACTATTATTACTTAAAACCAAACTAAAAATATCAATTTATGACGGAAATAACAAAATTTTTAAATTCATTGTTTTAATGAATGCAAGTTAAAGACGTTCCACGATGTTTAAGTTTCGCTTATCGTAGGCGGAACACTTTGAAACCTTTTTGCGGGTTTAAAAGATTACGAAGGGGAAAAAAAAATAAACCAATACAGCGTTGCCACCCCCGCTGTTATAAATGTATTTACTTTTAACACATCTCAACAAGATAACATAAAGGAACTAATTTCGCTCTTTCAATTTCCGCAGACGACAGCAGTTTCGCAAGAACTTTAGAATTGTTGACAGCTATTATCCTTGGCGACCTGAAGACGAAGTTAGAAAACTATTACTTTCGAATTTTCTTTTGTAAGCGATTCGGGGTTAATCCATCTGACAACACAACGAGTTGCCCTTTGTAGGTTATGCACACACAAACTTACGATTAAATGTTTAAAAAACACGCTAGTGGGCAAAACCGAAAATTTTGTAACAATTTGTTTCGTATCTAATATTTTAAGTTGAGATCGTCTTTTCCTTTCCAGTGATAAATATTATGATTATTTTGTTAAATATATGATTGTCTTTAAACAGTGTACACTTGGTAGATGAAGCTAATAATTCGCACTACGTATGACATTTAATCTCGTATTTTCAGTGGTATTTACTAAAATGATAACTGAATACAAATTAATTGATTAATAAATTTAATTTTTTTCCCCTAGACATAGCGAAAGTTTATTTTTAAGTCAGACCTAAAAGGAAAAAAGATATATTATTAACCAAATATTTAATATGTGAATGAAGCTTTTTAAAAGAGGGTCAAAAAATGACTCTTGTCAAATTTATGTTTATGAAAAAATAATGTAAGTGAAAAAAAATGGTGAGTTTATTATGCATTTTTAGAACTTTCACTAAAAGAGGAGATGATGCATATTAAATATATGATTTTTTTTTCACTTATAAAATTTTTTTCAATGTTACGGCATAAAAAATTTTACATTATTTAAAACGCTGCCATGGCAAATTCAAAATGCTGAAATTAATCAGTTAAGTATTTTTGAGAAATAAAAATTTAAAAATATGATTAGGATCTTCAACTTCTGACAAAATGTCAGGGTTGTATTTTCGAAAATGTGGGTTCTTTTCACATATTTTGGGGGTCAAAATTCTGAATCGAACGATTAAATAAGCAAATAAATAGAAGTAAAGTAATTCTGAAAATTCATGCATGGTGGTTTAGTATTTTCACTTTGTTGGTTGTACAAGTGTAAGCAAAATAATGTTGTTATTTGAGAAAAGTTTATAATTTAATTATCATCAAATTCAGATAATAACTTCATGAAATTCACAATAAATTTATTAAACAATATTTTTTTAAAAATTCTAATGGAATTTGACTCATACAATTATGATTTCAATTAAGCTTAAATTATACAGTACAATTCTTGAATTTATAATTCATAATTTCAATATATGATTACATATTCAACAATTCATAGTGATTTCATTCGTATCAGTTTTTTAACGCAAGCAAGGTTGTCTAATTAATTACATATTTCATACAGAAAATAATAACTCATCAAGAAAACCCACGGTGATGATTAATACTAATGCCTATTCGAAGAACCGTTCACTTTCCAAAGATTGCCTGCGGATTCTATAAAGCTTGCTCATCGACCTAGAGCCAGAAGGCGAAGATCTCTCGACCCATTTCGAATTGTCAGGGTCGATAGGTCGACAACGATATAACTTCGATTAATAGCGGCTATCTTCAAACGTGTATTCCATCTCGTTCTTCGCAAAAGATAATTTTGACAGATAGAGATTTCAAGCGCGAATATTAGGCGTGACATATAGAAATCAAGCAGCGGTTTGTCCATTCTATTTGACAAGGGAAAGTTCGAGTACAATTATTTCTAAATGATTTTGATTGCGTTATTTATCTTGTAGGAATCATTTGAATTAATTTATTTGACAATTTGACGGAAATATATGAAATTATATTCGTTTCATCAACTTAAAATCTTTATATAAATCATCAGTTGACGGAACGTTACTGTTATAAAGATAATGTAGGATTTAAGGTTAGAATTTGAGTCCTAATTTGAACTTGTTTATTTTAAAAATTCTTATTAATACTCGTAACTAATCTGTTATTCAACTTCATAATTTATTATGATTTAACTTATATCTAACCTTAT